AGTGTGGTTGTGAACTTCAAAAGTGGAGCAGCACATGAGGTTACGAAGAAAATAAATGCTAAAAAACATATGATGTTAAATATGGGGCCGCATGACTAGCTGTCCTGGCTGTGGGTTGGATATGCCTGTTCTAAGGATTCTTCTTATCTCTTTATTTTATGATTCTGCATTATAACATTCATTTTCTTAGGGTTTGTTTCCATTCACTTAGATTCCTTTTGGTCTTGTTAGTCCTTCAGTAACTACTTGTTGAGTGCCTCCTACTTGTCCACTATGGCCCTGGGTACTGGGGTTGCAGTGCCTTCACGGAGCCCTCTGCAACTGGGAGACAGACATGATGTCATCACAAAGCCCCATGCCCACTTCTGTGGCCAGTGCTGGGAAGAAAGCACCATAGCCCTGGAGAAGCTGTTTGGAGAGTCTCTCCTGGGTGTCAGGAGAGGGGGAAGGGGCATAAGAGTGAGTGTCACGGGCCATGGGAAGCAGTTACAAAATCATCAAGATGAGGGATTTGGGTGCATTTGAAGAGCTAAGGGAAGGACACCCTGCCTAAAGCTTCAATCAAGGGGGTGGGAGGGTTCTTTGAAAATTAAAATTAGAATGTAGATTTCCTCTCTAGGAAGGTAAGCACAGCGCAGTGTTTTAAGATTTGACTGTTTGGGTTCAAATTCAGTCCCTCTGTGACCTTCAGCAACTTTCTTTCAGTAACCCCTCTGAGCTTCAGTTTTCTTCGCAGAAACATGGGAAGAATTTGGTTGTTGTCAAGAGTTAAACTGCTGCCACACAGAAAGCTCTTAGCACAATGCCTGGCTTATGGGAAGTAATCAAGAAGGGTAAATTATTCAATATTTTATGGTTTTTGGATCTGTGTTTGTAGTTAGCGGTTTTATTAGTTTGTATAGTAGGATCATTATTAATATTCCTCAATAACATCAATCCTTTGGTGGAACTAATTGCTAAGTTCTTGAGTTCTCTGACTAAGCAGAGTTTCTGGAAAGTGTCTGGGTGTTTTCTGTTACTTTAAAACAGCGAGTTTGGCTGGACTCGGTGGCTCAGCCTGTAATCCCAGTACTTTGTGAGGCTTAGGCAAGTGGATTGCCTAAACCTGCAGGTTTGAGACTAGCCCTGGCAACTTGGCAAGACCTCGTCTCTACAATAAATAAAAAATTAGCCGGGCATAGTAGCGCATGCCTGTAGTTCTGGCTACTTGGAAGGCTGAGGTGGAAAGATCACTGGAGCCCAGCAGGTCGATGCTGGGGTGGCCGTGAGTGTACCACTGCAGTCTAGCTTGGGCGACAGAGTGAGACTCCAACTCAAAAAATAAATAAACAAATAAAACAGCAAGTTCTTTGCCCATGAAGTGCACAGTAGGCCTCAGAGGAGCCTTTGAAACCCCCAATCCTGTATGAAAAATTTTATGTGTGTATGCCTCTAGGTATCTTTGGGTTCCAAAACCATCTGTGGCCCCAGAAGTTTGGGAAGCACAGCTTTAAACTTAGTTAATGTTTTCAAGTCCACTCCCTGCTGCTCTGGGGTGCTCTGTAAACGGCTGTGGAATGAAGTCTATATACTCCCCCTGGTCCCTGGCAGGCATTGAGAATAGCTCATGCAAAGTGACGGCAGTCACTGGGCTTGGCTGTCACTCAGCGTGGACATGTTCATCCAAGGCAGCAATCATGCAGACAAATGACATCTACAAATGTATGATTCTTTATTAAAATTATCTGACTAGCTGTTATGCAGTGTACATTTTTTTTTTTTTTTTGAGTTGGAGTCTCACTCTGTCGCCTAGACTGGAGTGCAGTGGCCGCTCCCGGCCACCGCAGCCTCGACCTGCTGGGCTCCGGTGATTCTTCCGCCTCAGTCTTCCAAGTAGCCAGAATTACAGGCATGTGCTACCACGCCCGGCTGATTTTTTGATTTATTGTAGAGATGAGGTCTCGCTGCCCAGGTGGGTCTCGAACCTGCGGGTTCAGGCAATCCACTCACCTCAGCCTCCCAAAGGCGCGGGATTACAGGCTGAGCCACCAAGCCCGGCTGCAGTGTACATTTTTAATAACCTTTTATTATGAACCCAAAAGAATTAGTTGAGAGAAAGCAGTTAAGTGTTCATAGAAAAATAAGCACCTAGGCACAAACTTTTCACCTCTTACTTCAACTCTTTTCAGTCTCTGCCTAAATTGACCTTGGCTTTCCATCTGCCAGGTAAGACTTCTGCTTTCGCACCTATAGTGCTGCTCTGGTTTTTGGTGCATGGGCTAGTGGAGCCACATGTACAACTCTGTAGCAGGTGCCAGTTAATCTTTCTGGAACTAACTATTGAGGCACTTTTCTTGCCAGAACTAGCCTTAGGGAAGTCCTTGGCAGCCTGTTTCTTTATTTTTTTAGAAATGGGAAGGCTGTGTAGAGCAGTAGTGGAAAAGAGGCTCTGTTAGGTGTATTCTCTTTATGTGCACAAGCTCCAGCCAAGCTCTCTTTGAAACAGCAAGAATCCTCTTGGTCTTTAGATTTCAAATTCAGGCAGTTCCCCGCCTGCCTTATTTTTTGTGGGGATGCCCTCCTCTCCAGCAGGAATGGAATGAGAAGATGTCTGCTTAATAGAAAAAGGTGGTCAAAGCAGGGATTCTCAAAAGAAGATGCCTGCGTTTCTAAAACGTTTACTTTTAACCTCAACAGGCGTATTCACGTGCTGCTCTTGTGATCTGAACTCAGGCCTTGTCTTGGCACATGGACTCTCTCCTTTCCTCACAGACCACACCCACAAGGGCTTGTCTGAGTTTCTGGGTTTTGTCTGATGTGGAGTGAGAAGACTTGAACCAGGCAACAGGAATGGAAGCACTTACACTTTTACAACGTGTTTACAATATTTCCCCTTGTTTTACCCACTCTTAATTTGACAGCTGTATTTTAGTAACTCATCTTTATTGAATCTGAGAAATTCAAGCTGACGTCCAGAAATAACTTTCTTTTGGCAGTTATATGTCTTTGGTTTACACATTATTTCACCAAGTTATTTAATTAGAGTAAAAAGCACAACTGGCATAAGCAGGTTTGGGAGCACAGAGAAGTGTTTTTTAGTGAGCAGGTGACTCCTGGTGGGAGTATCTGTGCGTCAATCTGCTTCTGGTTAGGACAAACCAGGTGAATGATGGAAGGAAAGTTCCTAACCTCTATTGGTTTGCTTATCTGTAAAATGAGTATGAGAATAGTCCTTACCTGGTTGAGCTGATGTGGGAGTTGAAACATACATGCAAGGCTCTTCTCTGCCCCTGCCCTATACAAGAGCTAAGAAATGTAGCCATTATTTTTATTATCACTATCCTAACAACTGCTCTTATCACTGTCGTTCCTGGAGAGTAGCCTCTTTGCTATGAGTATTCCTGGTACCCTGGGATTAGTTAGTGTGTTTTATGGAGTGGATAGAAAGATTAAGTTAATTCCATGGTTGGTTAAGAGCTTCCACTGTCTTTTGGGAGCACATTCTTGGTGAAATGCATAGCGTAAACGTAAATTTATTCATTATGTGTTTAGTGAGCATCTCTATAGCAGGCAGTAGTTTATCTTTCTGGAACTAACTGTTGAGACATCATGCTAGGCTCTGAGAATCCAGCAGTAACTGGACACAGTCCTGCCTTCGGGAGCTTCTGTTGTTTTTTTGTTTTTTTTTAATGAGCTGGAGTCTCACTCTGTCACCCAGGCTGGAGTGCAGTGGCATGTTCCTGGCCACCGCAGCCTCGACCTGCTGGGCTCCAGCAATCCTCCCGCCTCAGCCTTCCAAGTAGCTGGAACTACTGGCACGCGCTACCACACCCAGCTAATTTTTTGATTTATTGTAGAGATGAGGTCTCGCCAAGTTGCCCAGGCGGGTCTCAAACCCCCGGGCTCAGGCAATCCACTTACCTCAGCCTCCCAAAGGCGTGGGATTACAGGCTGAGCCACCGAGCCCGGCTGCTTCTGTTGTTTATTGCAGATTAACTGTCATGTGGCAGGAGGCTGGCACAGGTGCTATCAGGAGCACCTGAGGTGTGAGGAGAGTAGGCAGGGAAGGTTTCCTGGAGAGGCCGTCCCTAACTCTAGAGGCTGTCCCTAAAGGCCAAATAGGAAAGAGGGAGTGGGAAGTGACATTTGAAGAATGCCCTGGTCATGTGAGCGCCTCAGGGACCATGTCAGGATGGGCCAGATCCTACCATGCATGAATTCGCTTGGTTCAGCATCCGATGGCTTAAGGGTGGGGCTTTGTCCCTGCCTTCAAGATAAGAATATGGAAGTGTAGACAGGTTAAATGACTGGCCATACAGCTAGAAAGTGGTAGTCCTGGGATTTCGTTCAATTCATTCCGTGCGGGTGTGGCTGGCTACGGGCTACGGAGTCCAGCTACTCCACTGTGTTGGAGGGAAGAGCTGGTTTCAAGAGGAAGGGTAAGGATGATAAATGGTACATTTTTGGTCAGGGTGAGTTGGAGGATCCTGTTAGACATCCGTGGGGAGGGGTCTGGATGTCACTGGCCATAGGCGCAGGGGGATGGGGATTGATGTCATGGAGTGGAGGAGGCTGTCTGAGTACCTAGAGTAGCAGACTTGCTGCCAGAGTCTTATTAACAGGGCCAGACTTATTTTTTTCCCTTGGACTGTTTTAAGCCTGTTCGAATAGCACTACATGGCCATTTTTCATAGAGGCAGGCCTCTTTGTTCACTTGGTTCTGAGTCCTCTGAAGAGGAGTGGTCCCAATCACTCGAGCATGAGCTGGACAGCACTGAAAGAAAGGTGCCCAGCTTTTTAGTTTTGTTTCTCTGGTCCTAATTACTTTCTTTTGGGGTTCCCCAACTGCCTGTTTAATGTTGGATGAATTCTCAAGTTTATTATTTTTAGAGACTTCAGCCAGGAAAGACTGTGAAGGAAGAAAGCTTGCCACAAGGCTCTGTCTTTGCCCAGATGTGACTTGTCACAGTTGTTACACACTTGTGAGTAGTTTTTTTTTTCTTCCCTCTCTTCCTCTTTAGATGGATTTGAAGACTATGGTCCAGATTGTGACAGCATGAGGGTCACGGCCTTCTTGGACATCCCAGGCCAAGATAACCTGCCTCCTCTCACTCGCCTGGAGAAGTATGCTTTCAGCGAGAATATCTTCAGCCGGTAAGCATAGCCCGGCCTTGGCATGTCCGTGGCCCTGTCATGTTTGGTTTCAGCTGACACTTGTGGCCACTTCTCTGTGATAGCTTCGAGGAGACTCATGGATGACGACGTGGGATGACAGGTTATCTCTAGGGTGCTGGGATTCTGTCTGAATGACACCATTTTCCATTATTTTTGTTATTGTTTTGCCGACCACCTGATAAGCCAGGAAGGAAGTGGTGATGGAATTTAATGATGTTAAAATGCTTAGGATTGCTAGCCAGGTTACCCTCACATATGTAGTACTTAGGTCAAACATGCATTGCTTGACAGGGAAGTGTTGAGAAATGTCAGTTGGAAGCATTGTAGGGTCACTTTGTTCTTTTTGAGTCAGGAGTCTCACTGTGTCACCCAGGCTGGTGTGCAGTGGTCCGATCACAGCTCACTGCAGCCTTGACCTTCTGTGCTCAGGCAGTCTACCCGCCTCAGCCTTCCAAGTAGCTGGGACTACAGCCCCATGTCACTTTTGCCCGGCTTTGATGTGTTGTAGAAACGAGCTCTCACTGTGTTGCTCTGGCTGGTCTAGAACTCCTGGACTCAAGCAATCCTCCCACCTTGGCCTCCCAAAGTGCTGACATTCGCTTTGGTTTTTGACTGCAGAGTATTTCAGGGACTTTTGTGGCAATGTGTCCTGTGATACTCTGCTGTCACTCTGCATGGTGTTGGCAAATTTCAAGTCCAGACTCACACTAGCTCAGCAGATGATCTTAATTCTTATTTCCTGGTAAGACATCTCATTCCATTTACACTCCACTCAACTGTGCCTGACTTCAAAAGCATTCTCCCTCCTGTATGTGTGTGTGTGGGGAGGAAGGGCGGGGAAGTGTCTCTCCTCTTGTTCTTTCATTCGATGGGCCCTCCATCCCTGCCTGCCTTCCTTTCCCCAGTACCTCGACTCCTTTAGGTTTGCCCTGCTTACTTCACGTGCCTTTTCCTCCCACTCACAAACACTGGCTTGTCTCGGCTAAGCTCTTTACATCTGTTAAACCATAAAGCTCACAATGATGTTACTAGATGAATCTGATTATTGTTCCACTTAATGTTACTAGGTGAGTCCATTTTTATCCCCATTCTCAAATAGGGAATAATGGTACTCTGAGTGGGGTCTTCTTTTTTATAGTTACTCTTTGTGAATGAACAGTGTCTTTTGATGAAAAGTTTTTAATTTAAATGTAATTCACAATTTTTTATGTTTTTCTTTTCTTTTTTTTTGAGTTGGAGTCTCACTTAGTCACCCAGACTGGAGTGCAGTGGCCACTTGCGGCCACCGCAGCCTCGACCTGCTGGGCTCCGGCGATCCTTCCGCCTCAGCCTTCCAAGTAGCCGGAACTACAGGCGTGTGCTACCATGCCCGGCTGATTTTTTGATTTATTGTAGAGATGAGGTCTCGCCAAGTTGCCCAGGCGGGTCTTGAACCCGCGGGCTCAGGCAATCCACTCACCTCAGCCTCCCAAAAGCGCGGGATTACAGGCTGAGCCACCGAGCCTGGCTGTAATTCACAATTTATCAACTTTTTCCTCTTGTGATTAGTACAAGGAAGAAACGATTGCCTCTCCCAGTGCCACCAGATAATCTTTATATTATTTTAAAAGTTTTATTGTTTTACCTTTTACATCTGGATCTACAGTCCACCCAGAATTCCCCTTTTTGTTTGTGTGTGATGTGAGGTGTAGGGTCAGGTTTTGTTTCCGTCCATATGGAATCCAGTTGACCTGGTGCCATTGCTTGAAGTCCTGTCTTTGACCTGTGTTCTGCACTCTACCTTTCAAGTGAGCTGTCCACATTTGGACTTCCCAGTCTACGTGCTTGGTCTACCTATATGTCACTGCACCAGGACTACATAGTCTTTGTTGCTGTAACTCGATCACAGTCTTGGTGCCACGTAGAGTAAGCCCTCCCACTGTGTTCTTTTTCAGGATGGTCTTGGCCCTTCCTGGCCCTTTGCATTTCCACATACATTTTAGCACCAGTTCATCAGTCTAGGAAAAACCTTCTGACATTTCCCTGGAATAGCATTGCATCTGTAAATCATTTTGCAAAGAATTGACATCTTGAAAATATTTAGTCTTCCGGTCTTTCCTTTTTTTTAGCTTTTCTTCAATTTCTTTGTGTGTGTGTGTGTGTGTGTGTGTGTGTGTGTATGCATGCGTGCACTCACATGTGCATGCATACACATACATATACACACACAATTATACAATTATAATGCTTTTTTTTATTGTAGAGATCTGTATCTTATTAGATTTAGTTCCAGGTATTTGATTTTTATGCCAATGTAAATTGTGTTGCTAATGTAAATTGTGTTGTTCCTTAGGCTTTCTAATTATTGCTGATATATGAAAATGGAATTAATTTTTTTCCTTAAATCTTTAAATTTGGAATTAATTTTTATATTTTTGTTTTATCTTATTGATTATGCTAAGTCCACTAATTAATTTTGCTGTCTTCCCTGTGGATTCTTTTGGGTTTTCTATATACTATAATGATGCTGCATGCATAAAAGGATCGTTTTATTTTTTCCTTTCCTATACTGTTGTATATTTTTAGTGACTATCCTTCACCAGCTTTAGAAAGTTTACATTTCTGGTTTGTATTTCTTTATATTGCTGGTTTGCTTAAGAAATTATTTTTAAATTAAAAAAAGTAATTTCACACTTACTTAAAAAGCTTCAAGAATAGTAGAAAGAATTTTTATATATCCTTCACTTAGATCATCAGTTGTTCATGTTTTGCCACATTAGCTTTATCATTCTCTTTTTCTTTATTTTTTATTTTATCGGAACCATTTGACTTCAGTGTGCATTTTTCCAAGAATAAGAACGTTCACCATTTATTCATATAATCCCAGCACAGTTATCAAATTCAGGAAAATTTAACTGATATAATGCTGTTGTCAGATATATAGATTTTGATAAAGTTTTGCCCCAGTTGTCCTAATAATGTCCTTTATATCATGGTTTTGTCTGTTTGTTTTTTTAGGTCCAGAATCCAATCCAGCATCATGTATTGCATTGAATTTTTGTGTTTCTTTAGTTCCCTTTATTCCCTAGATTTCTTAAAACATTTCATTGCCTCTCATGATACTGACATTTTTGAAGAGTATAGTCATTTATTTTGTAAAATAAACTGGGTTTACTAAGAATTTTCTAAATCATCAATGAGTTCTGATTTTATACACTTCTTTTATATAAAGTAATATTACCAGATGGTTTTTGCCTTCAAAAATCTCTCTTTTAACTAGATGTGGTTATGTGTGCCTGTAGTTCCAACTACTTGGGAGGCTGAGGCAGGAGGATCCCTTGAGTCCAGGAGTTTCAGACCAGCCTGGGCAACATAGCAAGACCTCATCTCTTTAAAAAAAACAAACAAGGGGCAACCCCTTTGGGTCCCCTTCCACCGTGGGGACTTTCCTGTCCTCTCAATAAATCCTCTTTCTCTCACACACAAAAAAATAAATAAAATAAACAAACAAACAAACAAATCCCCCAGCACTATGGGAGGATAAGGCAGGATTGCTTGTGCCCAGTAGGTTGAGACCATCCCGGGCAACAAGGCAAGCCTCTGTCTCAAAAAAAAAAAACACAGAAAGAACTCTCTTGTAAAAAATTTTCTTTGAACTTCAAAAAAATCTATTTTAATATGAAATACAACACATAAAGAAAATTGAATAAAACACATATAGTTTAAGGAATTTTTTGAGGCAAATGCCCATGTACCCATGTACTCAAGTCAAACAGTTGTACATTGCTAGCATCCTGAAGGCCCCCAATTCCTTATCACCTCTTCCTTCCTACCTAGCAATAACCACTGTCTTGATTTTCATAGCAATCACATTCTTAATTTTCTTTCTAGTTTTAGCACCTAACTATCTACCTCAAGATAATATAGCTTACTGTTTCTGAACTTGGGATATGTGAAATCATACAGGATACACTACTTTGCAGATTTTGCATATAACTTGAGTGTGTTCCTTTTGTAACAATGTTCTTGAATATATGGACATTTATCTCATATTGTTTGAGAAGTTTATTTTTTAACTATTACAAACAATTTTGCTCTGTTGTATTTGGGGACACGTAAGTATGCATTGCTGTAGGGCATATGCCCAGGAAAGAACCACCATGTGGCAGGATATGCTTATCTTTTACTTTAATAGGTAATGTTAATTTTCCAAAGTGGTTGTGTCAGTTTACACTTCCTACATTGTATCTGCCCTACATTTTATCTGACAATGGGTATTGTCAGATTTTTTTACATTTTAGCCAGTCTGGTGGTGCACATAACAATATCACTTGGCGATTTGAGTTTGCTTTTTTCCTACTGTGAGTTTGAACACATTTTCATATATTTGGTGAACAGTTTAATTTCTTTTTTGTGAAGAGCTTGTTCAAATCTTTTGTTGGAGAGGCAGGAAGAAGATGGATTGTCTGTCTTTTTCTTTCTTATTGATTTGTAGGAATTCTGTGTACATTTTAGATTTCAAACCTTGTTAGTTATATGTAATAAATATCTTCCCTCATTCTGTGGCTTGTGTTTTAACTCTCTTTATGGTTTCTTTTTGGTGACAGAAGCTATTCATTTTAATGTAGTTAAATTTATCATTTTCCTTTATACTTAGTGCATTTGAAATTTTTTCTGTTTCTTTGTATTGCTTTAAAGGCTTTAGTCTTTTTTTCCTTCACATATAGTTCTAGAATGTGCCTGAACATAACTTCTCTTTATTGTGTGAAAGATGGGTCCAGCTTCGCTTTTTGTCAGAACACCATTTATCACAAGCATGTCCTTTCTTGACTACTGTCTTTGCTGTTGTCCAATCTCTGTTTATGAACAGTCTTTGGACCCTCCTCCCTTCCACTGGTCCATTTATCTCCCCCTCAGGCAATGCCATGCTGTCTTGATTACTATAGAGTTATAGTAAGTCTTGATATTTGGTAGAGCAAGGCTTCTCACCTTGTTTTTCTTCTTTGGCATGACTTGTTATTCTTGGTCCTTTGTATTCCCATATAAATTTTAAAGCCAGCATATCAGCTTCTAACAAAACAACACAAAATAGAGCACCTATTCGGATTTTTGATTGGTTTTACATTGAATCTATACATCAATTTGGAGAGTATTGCCTTCTTTTCAATATTTAGACTTCCAATCCATAAACATGGTATATCTTTGCATTTATTTAGGGGTTTTTTAGTGTCTCAATATAATCTCATAATTTTTTCTGTAGAGTTTGGGCTTCCTTTTTTTGCTGGTGTTTTTGAAAGGAAATCTGAGACATCATATTTTATCCAGTTAAGGATCTAGAACAAATCTAAGTTCTGCAGTATCATTATTACACTCAACAAAATTAACAATAAGCTTTCCAGTCTACTGCTCTATGTCCAATTTCCCCTATCTTAAAAGTGCCTTTTTGTAGTTGGTTTGTTTGAATCACAATCCACTTAAGGCCCACATGTTTTATTAGGTATATGTCTCTCTAAGTTTCATTTTATTTACAGTTTTTCCTCCTTTTGATCTTCAACCTCTTTTTAACCTCTACTGGTTCTTGCATCTTCCCCCACTTCATTTATTTGTTGAAAGGGTCATTAGTTTTATAGAATTTTCCACATTCTGGTTTTAGTGGTCATTATTCTCATGATATAATTTGCCCTGTCTTTTCTATAATCTGAAAAATTACATTTGGACAATTGATTAGATTCTGCTTCAGGTTTAAAAAAAAAAGCAGTGATACTTTGTATGTTGTTTAGTGTACTACTTGTTACAAAATTTCAGGAAGCAATGTCTAGTTGTCCTAATTTTAGAGATGTTAACAATGAGCAGTGGGCTCACGTGTTCTATTTTTTCATTATGCAATTCTTCACTGATTTTTCTTTTAATGATTTTAATAGTCACAAATAATCATTGCTTGGATCTGTTATTTCATTGTGGGTTGGAAAATAGCAATTTTCTTTTTTTTGTCTGTGAGATCTGTAGTATGACCGCATTTCCATCCTGTTATTTGTTATTTGGTGTCTTTTCCCTTTTATCCACCTAGATAATTCTTGCCAGAGAGGTATACATGTCATTATTTATTTCAAAGGATCAAGTTTTGGTTTTGATTCTATTGTACATCTTCTAATCCAGTAATTTCTACTCTAATTTGTCTTATTTTCTTCCTTGTTTTTTTGTGGGGGAATTTAATTGCTGTTTTTTCCCCTACTTCTTGTGAAAGATACTCAGTTTTTAATTTTTTGACCTTTTGCAACATCTGCATTTTATATTGTACACTTTCCTTTAAGGACTATGTTAACTCTAACCTGAAGTTTTGATGTGTAATATATTCATTATATTTCAATACAAGTCTCTTTTTTATTTTATGCTTTTTTCTTTTTCTTTTTTTTTTTTTGAGTCCAGGTCTCACTCTATTGCCCAGGCTGAAGTGCAGGGGCACGATCATGGCTACCGCAGCCTGGACCTGCTGGGCTCAGGTGCTCTTCTTGCCACAGCCTCCTGAGTAGCTGAGACTACAGGCAGCACTCCCATGCCCAGTTAATTGAATTAATGTTCATAAGTTGATAGATAAGCTCATAAGTTGATAGATAATTAGGTTGTTTTCAACTTTTGGCTATTATTTATTTTTTATTTTTTGAGTTGGAGTCTCACTCTGTCACCCAGACTGGAGTGCAGTGGCCACTCCCAGCCACCGCAGCCTCGCCTGCTGGGCTCCGGTGATCCTTCCGCCTCAGTCTTCCAATTTGGCTATTATTAATAATAATGCTCCTGGGATCATTTATGAACAAACTTTCTTTTAATTAGGCTGTCTGGCTCCTTACTACTGAGTTATTTATACATTCTGGATACCAGCCTTTTGTCAGAGATTTTCTCCAGTTTATGGCTTGTCTTTTTCTTTTCTTTTTTTTTTTTTGAGTTGGTATCTCGCTGTAACCTAGGTTGGAGGGCAGTGCCACGCTCATGGCCATTGCAGCCTCAACTTGCTGGGTTTAGGTGATCCTTCTACCTCAGCCTTCCCAGCTGGAACCACAGGTGCGTGCCACCATGCACGGCTGATTTTTTTGATTTGTTATAGAGATGAAGTCTCACCAAGTTGCCCAGGCTGGTCTCGAACCCCTGGTCTCAGGCAATCCTCTCACCTTGGACTCCCAAATTCACTTTCTTAATGGTGTGGTTTTGGGAGCAAAATTTTTAATTTTGATGAAGTCTGATTTATCAATTTTATTTCTTAATGGTTTGTATATTTTGACTTCTCAGAAATCTTTGCCTAATCCGAGTTCACATACTTTTTTTTCTGTCCCCCCCCCCGAAAGTTCTATATTTTAGCCCTTACATTAGATCTATGGTTAATTTTGAATTAATTTTTGTGTATGGTGTGAGGTAAAAGTGTTCTTTTCTTTTTTCCCTGTATGGCCATCTATTTATTCTAGCACCACCTTTTGAAAATACTGTCCTTTCTGTGTTCACTTTTGTAAAAAGTCACTTGATAATATATGTATGTATCTGTTTCTGGACTCTGACTTTTGTCTGTGTCTCCTTGCAGTTCTGTTGGTTTTTGCTGCATGTATTTTGAAGCTCTGTTATGAGGCATATAAACCTAGATATATTATGTCTTCTTCTTTATGTCTAACCCATGAAGAAGACAGAGGGGATAAAGGGATAAGGCAGCCACTTTGTCATTTATCTCCTTACTCCTTCATCATTATAAAATGATCCCCCCTTTTTAAAATCCCTGGTGATGCTCTTTGCTCTAAAATCTATTTTATCTGATATCAATATTGCTACTCCAACTTTCTTTGACTATTGTTAACATAATGTATCTTTCCCATTCTTTTACTTTTAACTTTTTTTTCATCTTTATATTTATTTATTTTTGAGTCAATCTCATTCTGTCATCCAGGCTAGAGTACAGTGGCATGCTCATGGCTCACTGCAGCCTCCACTTCCTGGGCTCAGGTGTTCCTTCTGCCTCAGCCTCCTGAGTAGCTGGGACTACAGGGGCATGCCACCACACCTGGTTGATTTTTAAATTTTTTTGTAGAGGTGAAGTCTTGCTATATTGTCCAGGCTGGTCTCAAACTCCTGGGCTTAAGCAATCCTCCTGCCTTAGCCTTCTAGAATGTTGGGATTACAGGCATGAGCCACCACGCCTGGCCACATCTTTATGTTTAAAGTATGTTTCTTATAAACAATATGTAGTCGGGTCTTGCCTTTTTATCTATTCTGTCAGTCTTTGTCTTTTAATTGGAATGTTTATGCCATTTGTATTTAAGGTAATTATTGATGTAGTTACGTTAAGTATATCTTGCTATTTGTTTTCTATTGGTCACATCTGTTTTGTTTTCTTTTTGTTCTTTATCTGCCTTCTCTTGGTTCAGCTGAATTTTTTGTGATTTTAGTTTGTCTTTTAAAATATCTTATTAGTTATAATTCATTGTTTTACTTTTCTACTGGTTGCCTTAGCATTTATAGTATACATATTTAACTTATCACAGTCTGCTTTAAGTGTTATTTTACCACTTCTTGTATAGTGTAAGAACCTATTCATAGTATACCTTTGTTTTCCCTTTTCTTCATGCTATTTTTGTCATGCAGTTAACTTATATATATTATAAATCTGTAATAAATGGTTATTCATTTTTATTCATGTGGTTATTTCTGAAAGAGATGTAACCAGTAATATAAGGTTTTGTGTGTCTGCTCCTATAGCTGTCATTCCCAATGCTCGTTGTTTCTTTATGCAGATTCAGATTTCCATCTGGTGTCATTTTCTTTCTGCTTAAAAGATTTCCTTGATCGTTTCTTGTAGTTTAGATCTGCTGCTGATGGGTTCTTTCCATTTTTGAGTGTCTAAAAGAATCTGTTATTTATTTTTTACTCCTGGTCTTTGGGTGTCCAATGCCAACCACAGCTCACACTGGCCTCCTGAAGCTTGTGGGTCCACCCTTTCAGAAGGCCTCATCCTCTCTACTGATTGGCATCCTCTCAGGGTTAGCCATGGTGTGGATCTGGAAGCTTCTCCTTTGTAGACCTTCGGAGCTCAGACCAGGCCTACGATGAGATGTGGTCCTGGGTCCCGGAAGGGCAGCCTCCTGTTCTCCCCAGGGGCCAGAGCCTCTGTGTAGAATTCCATTAGTACACAAATTCCATGCTGTTTGCCGTCTTGTGGTGGAATGGTCCTTTGCCGAGTCCAGCCCTGCTCCTCCACCTCAGGCTGATGTCCTGCTCTCCTATGTGTTGTTCAGGCCCTGTGGCTTGGGTGGCTTGCTTTCCTTCTGGTGACTGCCACCACTAAGACTGTCCCAGACCCAGTCCCCTGTTTTTCTCGACCAGTTCTTCATGGAGTAGGATAGGGTCTCCCTGGCTCCTCCTTTTCTTACTCTCCTCAAAATAAGCATTCATGGGACCTTCTGGTTTTACAAGTTTTATGGTTAATCTGTACTAGAAGATGGGAAAGTAAACATAATAAATATAAGAAAATGTCTGAATTTTAAAAAATTCTCCAGTCTCCCATAATCTGTAGTTTCTTATTCAGTCATTGGGAAAACCAATGGCCCTTTTTCTTCAACATTTATTGGTCATTTAATTCCCTCCCACTGTCTTGAGCTTTTCCTCCAAGTCTGTCTGGTCCTGAAGAATCAGTCAGAAAACAAAAAAAGGTTTTCCCTTTTCACAAGTGGAAGCTTCGAGCTCTAAGGAGTTTTTCCTCTAGGACTTTGATCCATGTTGGAATGGCCGTCTTTGTACGTTCCTAGATAGTCTCTGTCCTCCTTCTGGACACAAGATGCTGACTCTCATTAGTGTCATGCTGTGTCCCTGCTCTTAGCACACCATGCCTGGAACTTAGCATCTTTCAGTCAGTGTTACCCAAATGACCATCTGGATCATTTTTGTCTCCACAGTCAGATTATTGCCAGAGGGCTGCTTGATATCTACCAGGACTTCAGTAACAATGAAGAAAACTTCCTAACAGTGATGCAGATTGTAGTCAGATTGTCAGAAGACCCAGGTTTGTATAACTTTATTACTTATACATTTCTAAGAAATTATATGTCACCAGTGGTAGCTAATTTTTTTAAAAACTGTGTTTTAATCTATAACTCTTGGAGTGTCTAACCATGAGTGGATTTTTGTCATGAATATTTGAATATGACTCAGATTGCTCTTATTTTTAGAAAATTGCAGTGGCGAATGGCTCTGAATGCTATTTGCCCTGGCAGTTAGGCCTTTTGTATTTCTTGAGTTTTGCCAGGCTACTGGTTGCTAAGAAATACTGAATCAAAAGAAGTCCTTTGGATTAGAACAGTCTCAGTCATTAGTTTCCCTCAAGGCTCATCTTGATTTTTCTTTCTTTCTCTACCTCTCTGTGATTGCTATTCTGGAGGGAAAGCGCACTGCCGTGCGGCAGACACAATAACGTCATCTGTCCCACACCCCTGGTGAGGGTGAGTCAGATGAATGCGCGATAGGGTTGCCAGTACCCACAACTGCTCAGTAGCCCCTCTTTCCTGCTTTCATGATAAATGGCAAGCAGCTTCAGAGAGTTTCAGAAACCTGAGGCCTTAGAATTTGATCATTTCAACTGAAAATAGGAAATCAGAACTGATATAGTTCCCATATCAGTTTGAAATATTCATATGGACATGACACAACACTTTTAAAAAGACCCAAGTGGATGTTTTAAGTCTTGAAATGGATTCTCTTTGTAAATGAGTCACCATTTACAGTGCTGCAGCAATTATATATTTGTGTTAAATTTAATGTGGTATATTGGAACTAGGGCCGCTTTTTTTGTTTAATGCTTTGCCTTAGAAATAATTGGGATGCGTGGATTGTGGGGGAGTGCATTTATGAAAGAATTATTTATAATGTATACATTCTGACTAGAATTTAAATAAGCACAACCCATAGGTCTGGCATAGGAGCCATTAGTTGTAATGGCTTTTGGACGCTGGCCCAGCACGCAGACTTCTTGCTCCCGCCTCAATTTATATATGGCTTGCTATAATAGAGTTGTCATTCTCTCTTCCTTTTATGTTTTTATATTGCCTTATAGCTTATTAACTTTTTAAGCCTGTCTGTAGCATAAATACTCTAAATGGGAAATGATTTTTAAACTGCATTTGTCTAATTTCCTTGATGAAGTATTTTAGTAAGAAAAGCTAGAAACTATCAGTATGTGCTGTATATGATGCTTGGCTTATTCTTAATATAATTCTTTTTTTTTTTTTTTTTTTTTTTACTGTGGCAGAGCCCACAGTGCGGACTGAGCTGGTAGAACAGATTCCTCCTGTTGCTGTTTTTTTTTTTTTACCAGAAAACAGATCCAATTTTCCAGTGGTGTTCTCTGAATATCTCATACCTATTGTGGTGCGAAACCTCACAGATTCGAACAACCAGGTTTGAAAAATTATAACCTTAAGATCTCTCTAGAAAATTCTCTTTAGTCTTATTTCAGCCAATATTCATAATTCAAAAAAACCACTTCTTAGAGTTAAGTGATTCAAGAACAAAAGGTTTCTGTATGCCCAGTTCCTCTAATTGTGTAGGAAGACAGACAGCACTCCTTTTTAATCATAAGATGTCTCTTTTTCTCTTTCATTTTTTATTATAGAAAATTTCAAACACACATAGCATTGGAGACAAGATTAGAATAAATGCCTCTGTGCTTCTCAGCTTCAGCCATCATTGACTTTTTTTTTGAGTTGAGGTCTTTCTGTCACCCTGGCTGGAGTACAGTGGTATTATTGCGACCCACTGCAGTCTCGACCTCCTGGACTCAGATGATCCTCCCACCTCAGCCTCCCAAGCAGCTTGGACTATAGGCATGCACCACCATGCCTGGGCAATATTTTGACTTTATGTAGAGATGAGGTCTTACTATGTTGCCCAGGCTGGTCTTGAACTCTGGGACTTGAACAGTCCTCCCCTCTTGGCCTCCCAAAGTGCTAGGATTATAGGCATGAGCCACCATGCCCATCCCATCACTAACATTTGACCCATATTTTTTCATTTATCTTACCCAGATAAACTTCAACCCAGATAACAAGCAACTCCCAGACACCATATCATTTCAACTATAAATACTATTTAGTATTGTCCTCTAAGAAATAAAGACCCTTTAAAAAATAATGCCAATATTATTTTTGCAAGTATAAAAATTATCAATAGCTACTTAATATTATTGAATATCTAGTCATTGATCAGATTTTCTCAGTTTTCTCATAAATATGTTTTTTGCAGATAGGCTCTTCAAGCTAGATACAAGCAAGGTTCACCCATTGACCTGATTTGGTTGATATGACTCTTAAATCTTTAGAGATCTATAATGCTCTTCTTCCCCTTTTTTTCTTCTTGCTATTTGTTGAAGAAACCAGGCCATTGGTTCTATAGACTTTCCTACATTTGGGAAATTAAGAAAGATTACCAATTAGGTCTTTAAAATTACTTTGTTTTGAGTATTATTATGAACTCCTAGGTTTTAACATAGTCTGTGTGTTTCAATTCATTGTAGTCATTGTCCTTTTTGATGATCAAATTGTCCCAGCTTTGACCAGTGGGAACTCAGTTGACTCAGAATCTTTTTGGTGTAATACGGGAGACCATGATAGCACACTTGTACCTGGACTTGACCAGTTCTCTAAGGAGCCTGGGTTCCCTGATAAAGTGATGAGAAGAAATCAGAATGTGGGTGCTGGGGGTGTTCATTGCTACCAGTGACAGAGTAACTTTTTACAAATAAAAGTTCCTCATTAATTTATATTGATATTTCTAACTCAAATTTAGAACTATAGGGCTTTTACTTAACATTTTGGTTTTATATTTGTATCTTTTTTCACTTACACCATACAAATCTTGCTTCTTAATGACATTAATGTGTCTGTATCTAACATAAAAATCCCAATATTATTACTAACAATATGACAGGATTACAGAATGGCCCTTGAGACTTCTTTGCATTTCCTGTTGATTTGGGGCCACATCCCGCCAGAGGTCCCCAGTCGTGCTCTTGTCCCTGGGTTTTAAAGTCACTTGCATTGATCCCTTTCTGGGGTGAAGCCACCAACTTGGTACACAGTTACGCTCATTTGCTTTTTGTTTTGAGGAATTGCTTTAGGTTTTACATTTTGATTTAAAATGCTTACTTGATTCCAAAGTCAAAACTGAAACAAAGTCCATTCAGAGAAGTCTGACTTCTGTCTCCATCCCCCACCATCGCTCCCTGCCCTGTGGGTAGCCATCTTGCTTAGGTTTTGCTTTATTCTTAACTTAAAACACACACATGTACAAGTCAACGGCTCTCAATGATGTCCTGTGTTCTGTGCCCAGTGTCCCTGCCTCAAATGCAAGGTGCCACCCTCCAGCTGCTCTGTGCCTGTTCTCTGTGGTACCCTAGCACCCTGGCACAGCAGCCCCTACAGATCAACCTGACTCCTTTCCTGTGGGGTAGGGAGTGCCCCCATGGGGACAGAGCACATTCAGGTGTTTTCTTGTCTCTTGCCACTTGCAGGTTGCTGCAGTGAATAGCCTTGCATCATTTCTCTTTGTGCCAGTGTATTTTGGGGATAAAAGTATTGAATTTTTAGTGATCTACCAGTTTTTCCCCCATGTTTTCATTATTATTATGTTCAAGAAATTCTAAAACTGCAGCTTGTATTTCTCCCTTGATCCAGGCATCTTAAAAAGAGCAAACACTCATTTTTAACTGTTAAACAGTGTGACAGGACTAAATAGTGTTTTCAAATAAGGAAAAAGTCATCCTATTTCCATTTTCCTAACAGTCACTGTTTTGATCATTTTTGCATTTTCCTCTCTGGGTGCTTACTTTTTTTCCATATAGGTCTAATCATAGTGCGATATGGTTTCTTCCATTCATTCATTTGTTCTGACAGGTTCTGAGTGCTTTTTATGAGCTGAGCACAATGCTTCTTGCCTGGGGAGAGAGGACGACTTTTCCTGCCCTCAGAAAGCTCATCTACACACTGCAGACATTTTTAATTTTGCAGAATGCTTAGATTTCTTTCAGCTTTTTTTGTACCATACATGCAGAGAGCATCTTGAAGGATAGAGTTTTGTTCTGACTTTTCTTTTTCCCTTGGATCCACTCCTGAAAATAAGATTATACTGGGTTTGGGATTTGGCATATTCTTGGTCTTTGTCATATAGCATTGCCATGTATTCTATCCCAGAAGGGTAGAGGCAGGTTGACCCCAGGATCTAGTGTGGTGCCTGACACCTGGTCTATTTGCTGAAGATTTGTATCTACCAGCAGGCCAAGCTGCATCTGCACCCCAGCATCCAACCCAGCCTCCCCCCACACTCACATCCATGTTCCCAGCCTCTGGAGTCTCCATAACCACTGCCCCCTCATACCTCCAAAGATGGCCATCTGCTCTGACCACAGCCTGTCCTGTCTCCTGCTCCTCCAACCTGGGCCCTCCTGCAGGGGTCAGACTGCATAACCCCCACTGTCTTCGTTTACTTCTGGTGCTTCCTCAGCTGTGCCCTCTCTTATGCCACCCTTTCAGGCCCGGCCCTCCCATCACCCCCCGTTTTTTGTCCTTTGGCAGTGCTTCCACCGTGCTGGCTCTTCCTGCCCAGCCCCCCGCCTCCTCTGCTGCTGGTAGCTGAGCTCGGTGGCGGGAGGCCTGTTGTGCATTGATTGGTGCCACTGCAGATTTATGGGCTCCAGTCGTGTGCAGCTACTGGCAGCCCTTTCCCACGTCCCTCATCAGTTGCCTTTCACATTACCCCTGGCAGCTCTTAGACCTTTGCCACATTCATCGGGCTGCCTCCCCTCGCCCTGCCTTGCATGAGCAAGTGACCTTGCCTTCGGAATCATACAGGCTATAGCGGCCTTCCATCTTCTTACCCTTCATGGAGAAGGAAACCACTGTCTCCTTGATGGTTCCCCAGAGCCATCCAAGTGGACAGAATCCCTTCTCTCAACTCCTACATCCAGTTAGCTGCAGACCACGTCTCCTTTTGTTTTCCTTGTAAATACATAACTCCTCAAGGGCAACCCCTCCTCTCTAGTCCCACCATTCTTCAACACAGGAATATGCTGGAGTGCTAGCTCACTGCAAGCCCTCAACTATTTCATGTACTGAGGCACAGCCTTTAACATTGCTCCACCCCAGACAGTGGGACACAGAGGTTACCGGACACATCCTTTGCTCCTCCTGGAACTCTGGACTGGCTTTCTTCCCTGGCTTCTCATAATAATGGTATTAATAACAACGGTAGCCAGCATTCACAGGCACATTGGTCTAAGCCCTAAAGGCATAGTAAGTCCTTTCATCCCCATGACAGACCTATGAGATAAGTCCTACTGTCAACTAGTCTTAGGAATAAGGAAACTGAGGCTCATAGAGTCCAAGTCACTTGCCTAAGTGCTTTGGCAATGACTTAGACCTTTGCAAAATACTGATTGGGGCACAGCATACAAATTCCGTAGCCAGAGCCCATCCCCACTGCAGTGTCCTCTCAAGCTCCTGGGTCTGCTCCCTGCTGCTTCCCCTGCTCCTTGCCTATATCTTCCCCAGTCTCTATCACTAGCTCCTGTCCTCTCCTGCCCCTCAGGGTTGGTGTTCTCCAGGGTATTGTCTTTGGTCTTTTTCTCATAGTACCAAGGTTCCTTTGTGGCCTCATCTGCTGTCATGGGCCTGCAGAGAATCTGCACTCAAGCGAACCCCAGATTGCTGTCTCTGCACAGGTCTTGGGTTCATGAGTCATTGCCTCCATGGCTGCGCCTGCTGGATGGCTCTCCTAGTGTCAACCAAGTCACTAGATCCAAAACCTCTGGTACCCAGTCCTGTACTCTTTGCCTCTGTCTTGCTTCTCCTTCTGCTTTCTCAGTTTGGTGACCTGGGCACAGATGCCTGAGTCAGCTTTGGTTTCTGCCATCATCCTGTACGGTCACTCTCAGCTCTCTTGGGCAGTGTTTCTCATGCCTGCCCCTGTCCTCGCACCCATTAAAGCCTGCAGTGTCTCTGTCCAGGAGCCTTCCCACTGTACTCTCAGCTTCTGGAGCCACTTTAGGATTCCAGATTGTCACCCTCACTGAACCAAGTGTAACCAAGTATGATCTTGTCACTCCTCTGTTGTTAAACTCTTAGTGGCTTCTCACTGTACTTGGAATGGATGCCAGAAGTCTTTTCTCAGTCTGACCTCTGCTCACCCTTCAGTCTCCTGCGCTGCCACCTGGAACTTGTCATACTTCTCCAGGGTGGTTGGCCCCAGAGTTCACCACTTTGCATGTTCAGTCATGCTGTTTTCTGAAGCTGGAAGGCCCGTTTTCTTTCCTTTCCCTGCTCAGTGGATTCATGTCCTGGAGCTGCTATAACAAAGTGCTATAACTGCATGGCTTAAAACAATACACATTTATCTTCTCACAGTTCTGGAGGCTTGAAGTCTAATGCCAAGGTATTGTTGGGGCTGGATTCCTCTGGCTGCTCTGGGAGAGAATCTTTCTTGTTACTTCAGTTTCTGGTGGTTGCCAGCTTCTTTGGCTTGTAGCCCCCTCACTTGAATCTCTGCCTCTACCTGCAGCCTCTTTCCTCTGCTATCAGGGTTTCTTCCTACTGTCTTTCTCTTATAGACACTTGTGATTGCATTTTGGGCCTACCCAGTTAATCCTGGATGATCTCAAGACCCTTAATTTAGTCACATCTGCAAAGACCCTTTTGCCAAAAAAGGTCGCATTCACAGATTTCAGAAATTTGATGTAGACAAATCTTTTGGGGCCACCATTCAACCCTCCACCCTGGCAGGCTTCCAACTACCTTTTGACATCTATCTGATACCATGTGCACCGCTTGGACCTTGCCTCCGCTTGCCTCGTATGACTTCCCATCCCTGCTGCCCTCTGCACCCTCGGTGCCTGACCTTGCATGGTGCTGTGCAGCTGGGCGGGTTGGCACTCCTTGTCTGTGACCCTCTCCTGTCCCCAGCTCCGGGCACACACTGGACACACAGGCGGAGTTTTCATGAACTTTTGCTCCTCCTGGTCAGAACTGAAGTCTGTGCTCGGGCTCATGATTGGTGGGCATCATCTCTCCTCATTGTGGGCAGCTGGCCTAGGCCTCCTCCTCCTGCCTGGGCCTCCTCCTCCTACCTAGGCCTCCTCCTCGCTGCCTTTCCTGCTCTCAGTCTTACACATCTCCAGTTACCTGAGAACAATGCTGTCAGGATGATCTTCCTGAAATGCTGCCCAATCAGAAGCGCTTGTGTCAGGCTATGCTGTTATACAGCCTGCTGTCCACTGGTCATGGTGACTCCGTGAGCACACTCTTGGCTCCCATGACTACCCTCCTGCCTTTCCAGCACTGTGATAAGTTGTGTATCTCATTCCTTGTTGTCTGCATTGGCGTCTGGTGCTCTCATCTCCCTACAGTGTCTCTTCAATCCCTCCGAATCCCTTGAGTCCCAGTGCTTGCTTACTACCCCTGTGGACTGCAGAGTGCAGGAGCTCTTAGGCCTCTTCTTCTGGAGACCGCGGAGTCTTTCTTTGCTGTGGGAGTGTCCCAGCTTGTCAGCTGCTCCTCCTTGCCCTCTCCCCCAACCGTATGTCCCTTTACATCCAGCCGTGGCATGTCAGGCAGTGGGAAGGGCCCAGCACCTTCGGATCCCTCGCCCACAGTGGGGAACAGGAGCTTAGTCCTCCCTTTGTTCCACAAGATATCATAGAATGCAAATCCCGTGCCGCATGCTGCCAGGTCCTAAGGATGCCCTGGAGGACAGAAGGCCTGTCCAACGGGGTAGTCGCCCTCTGATTCACCTTTCACAGCAGGGAGGCAGGTGGCAGTTATGGAACTATACAGAGAAAGTGCACGTCTGTTTGTCTGCCTGTATATGCCGAGATCTGGGTTACTAGCTCTAGAGGGAAAGTGCTGGGTATAGTTGTAGAGCACGGGCCCTGCTTGAACAGTGTGCAGGGAGCAGAGGGGCTTCTGGGGTGGAAGCCGAGGGATGGCAGAGGTAGCCTCTGGATGAGGAGGCAGCGGGAGCAAGGAGACCCACCGTAGTCTCCGCTTGTAGGTGATGGGGAGCAACTGGGCAGCTCTGCTCAGGGCATGAGCTTGGCCCTGGGGCACTCCTACTTGTGATTTTCACTGCCTGTCTTTTCCCCTTCTAGGTTAGAAAACCAAGCCAGGAAGTGCTCTTGGTTCTTCTGGAACAAGGTCTAATTTTCCAACTTGATATTGAAAATAAAGTGTCTCCAATTCTGCTGGAGCTCTCTGCCCCGGACAGCGATGATGACTACAAGGCTGAAGCCGTGAGCATGAGTCTGTTGGGAATGACTGCCCAGCACCTGCAGGGACTATCCTATACATCGACTTGTGTGTAACTGAAAGGTTACACACACGTTCCATTTTGGCCAGCACTGTTCCCATGAGCAAAGCAGCCAGTGTCTTGACCTCAGTCAGGGGAAGCTCCCAGCCCTGCTCTGAGTGTGTTTCAGAAGTGAGCCTCCTTGTAGCACTAGTTGCCTTAAGGTGCAAGCCCAGGGAGCCAGAGTGGTGTGAGCGTGACCAGGCTGCTGGAATGGACTCTGCTGGCCAAGATGCTGGGGTTCGTGGGCCATTCCCTGGACCTGCTTGTTTCCTGGGCCTTGTTTCTTAAAATAAGGAAACTCGTATGGTATGGGAGAAAATTTTAGGTGGTACTTGGACAATTTAGAAAAAAAATTTAATAGACATGTATGTCTATTTTATAGATGAGGAGGGGACTAAGGTAGGTGGTAAGCAAGGAAGAATCGCTTACAGGTCTGGCCAATGCAGGCATAGTCAAAACGCCTGCAGATATTTGGGAAATGCATAGTGTTTGTGCTCATGCCAGTTAAAGACGTGCAGGGAAAACATCTTCTGCTTAATAGGATGGTGTCCTTGGTCTGTAAGATTCTGCAGCCATCGTTCAGTCACTGCACAACCAAGACTTTCTTCTTATTTCTGGAGCCCTTGTTCACACCCATGGTGGATGAGCTGGTGCTGGCTTTTCTGCTTCTCAGACCAGGATGCCCATTTGTCCTCCTACCTTTTACTTTGTGGCTTCAGGGAGGCCATCATGGGCCATCTTGTGTTCTCCAGCCACCACTCCTTACTGACTCATGTACATGATGCTGTGTGGCATGGCCCTTTCTGTCTGCATCACACAAGTAAATAGCTCCAGGAGTGTTCCAGCATTTTAGTAAACACTTGTACATAAAGAACTTTTAAAATCATGAGCATTAATTAGAAGTACAACAAAAGTTATAAAAGAGAGTTGTTTTCTTGTTTGGAAAAGAACACTGTAAGAGAAAGGAATTCTTTTCTTTTTGAAAGTGCAGAAATATCATACTCCGTGGAGCTAAAAAACTATTACAGCCTCAGAACATTTGGTAGTTATTCTTCATTTGTGTAAAAGTTTTCTTCACTACGCATTAAAGGTCTGGTTTTTTAAACTAATTTAATTTTTTGTATATTCCATATGTTTATAAGATGAATCAGGTTGAAGAATAATTGATTATTAAAATTCAAAATCTCCAGGGTTCTTTTATAAATTTCAAGTTTCTCTATAAGAAATTTAATTTATTTTGCACAGTGAACCTGGGTAATACCATTTAGTTGGGGTGTCTGACAGCTGAATGGTGAACTTTGCCAACTGGCTCTTCTTTTTCATTTGGAAGTTGGTTAGGTGCGTTTCCAAGTCTGTGACTGACATCTAGATATCTTATCCCCAAAGACAGATGATACCATGAAAAATAATGTTAAGGGCTTTTTTGCATGATTTTCATTTTGTTTTGTTTTCAAACACCCCATTCTTGTCAGCAATATCCTTTTTTTTTTGGTAGAAATATTTGGAAAATATAGCAGGCCTTTCAAAAACTGTCTCCACAAATCATTTGCAGAACAAATTAGTTCACATAAATAGTGTTTTTTAATTCAAAATGAAATGCTGATATTGGCACTTGAATGCATACGCTTTCAACTGTGGCTGCAAGAATAGACATGGCTTTGACCCTTGCCCTACCTTGAGCCCCCACAGCCCAGGCTGAACACTTTTCATGGTCTCCCAAGTGTTTCTGGAGGCCTCTGCTTCTTTTCCCATGGAGCCCCAATGGGAGCAGAACGTTGGGTATCTTGTCTGGCCATGTGTGCTTTGGTGTGATTCCTGCCCCAGAGCCCAGAGGCCACAAGGGGCTTTGGAGGGGACTCAATCCTGGGACACCCGAGAGCTGGAGGGGGCATAGATAGAGCCATCTTTTTAGCTAGGAAATGTCAGTATGGGTGGAGTGTGAGTTTCATGATTCACAGAAGAGAAGGTTGCATGTGTGCTTTGTGGAGCTCCCCAGGCGGGGTTCTGATTTAGTGGGTCTGTGAGTAAACCCCCAGACATCACGGGCACCAGCATGTGTTTGTCAGGAGGTGATTCAGGGAGCTGTCAGCTGGAAGTATGATAGATGGGAAAGAAGCACTGGGCTACTCCGATGCCCCCCTGTGTTTTGGGGCCCCTTTGCAGCCATATGGTGTTAACATTGCTACAACTGCACGTACACAACACACACCTACCCAGAGCAGTGCTGCCTTGAAGAAACTGCTGCTTATTTCCGAGGAAACTGCGTGTCTACACAGACAAAATGTCCATCTGTCCATACGGCTTCTCAGTCTCATTGAAACTTGCAGTCAGCTGGTTCTGATGCTGACAGTAGTGCATCCAAGACTGGAAAAATCAAGGATAGCCAATGACATGTCCCGGGTTTCTGAAAATTCAGTGACACAGGACAACCTTTAGGTTGGGACCCAGGTACACAGATTCCTGGTTTCTTACATGTATATGCGTTTGTCTTTGTGAAGTCTTTCTAGATATCCCAAGCAGCATTATGACTCTCCCATTTATGTGGTCAGAAGGGTTGGTTCATATGTCTCCTGCCACTTTGAAATTGATCTGTGAAGTCCTGTTTGCTTCTTCTTCTTCTTTTTTTTGAGTTGGAGTCCCACTCTGTTACCCAGACTGTAGTGCAGTGGCATGTTTATGGCTATCCCAGCGTCGACCTGCTGGGCTCAGACAGGCAATCCTTCCACCTCAGCCTTCCAAGTAGCCAGAACTACAGGCGCATGCTACCACGCCTGGCTAATTTTTTGATTTATTGTAGAGATGAGGTCTTGCCAAGTTGCCCAGGCTGTTCTCAAACCTATGGACTCAGGCAATTCCCTCACCTCGGCCTCCCAAAGTGCTGGGATTACAGGCTTGAGCCACTGTACTCGGCCCTATTTGCTTCTTAAACACAGGGCTGCAGTATTTCTTGCATCATCAGCACCCAGCACAGTGCCAGGCCCAGAGTCAGTACTAAATAAATGTTGGTTGTTGGGTGAATGAATTGGTAAAAACAGCAAGAGCCGTATCTTGTAATTATATCTAGATGGGATAAACAAGCCATTGGAGACCAATTAGAATTCCTCTTGCTTGCAGGGAGGCCATTAGCATTCTGATATTATAACTAATTGTCGGGAGCCCATTTTTCTCTCTCCACACATTTTCACATTAAGGCTTCCTCGTTTTTTGTCATCATTCCTATTTTTAAGCTCATTTTTATTTGTGCATTTATTTAACAAGAATGTTGTTGTTATGTGCCATAAAGAATGGTTGGCTCCAAGCAACTGAGTGAAGATTGTCATTCCATGAATGTGGTTCCCAGGGCCACAGGAAGACCGTTTCTTGGCACTCAGTATGCTGACTTCTAATGATTCTGGATTTGTTTTTCACTGTGTAGTAATAAGGCCATGTGGTGTGGCCAGTGGTGAGGCTGGATGGAGATCCTGGGAGCGCTTTAGTGGCCTGTTACCCCGGATACGGAAGTCTCATGTCCTCGTTTATTATGGTAGTCACTTTGTCCGCTAAGTGTCATATCAGAGATATGAATCTTCTAAGTTCTGAAGACACAAGCCTGTTCCTTATTTGTGTTACAGGCTAGTTCCCCCCTCCCCCACCCCAATTAGTTTTCCTTCCTCTCTTGTCACTTGTGTGCAAATTCCAAATCGAATGATGGGTGGCTTACTAACCCACGACTATTATCTCCTGGAAAAATGCCTGTGCTGTGTATATAGTGAGGGCAAGAGGCTTCAGAGGCAGAAAGTTCTTCTCCCCCTTCTCCCCCCAACCCCTGCCTCCACCCCTCCCTTCCCTCCACCCCTCCCTTCCCTCACTCCCTTCCTTCATTATTTCTACCTTCCTCCCTTTCTTTTTCTTTCTTTTGAGGGAGTTGGTAATTTTGTTTTGGGTAACTTTTCATTTTCTTTCAATTTCAAACTTACAGAAAAGTTGCAAAAAAAGTAATATGAACTCTTGTATACCTTCTGTCCAGCTTCTTTAGTAGTTTATATTTAACTCCATATATTTTATCATATTCATTCTCTCTCTCTCTCTTTCTCTATCTTTATCTCTATCTCTCACCACACACACACAAATATATGCACACGTACTGAGACATTTTTTTTTCTGAGACATTTGAGACTATTTTGGAGGCATTTGAGACTATTTTGGAGGCATTGTATCTTTTTACAGCTAAGTACTTCAGTGTGTATATCCTAAAGACAAGGAAATTCTCTTTTATACAACCAAAATGTGAGGGGGAGACCCCAAAAAAGCAGAATTATTTTTTGGAGGGCAGGCTCCTTGTAGTACAGGCTTCCTCACTAGGTAAGTATTCTAGGAACCCATCAGCATCAGTACACCGGCTGTTGTTGTGAGAGGCTATGTTCAGCTTCAGTTGAATTTTTTTTTTTTTTTTTGAATCTTTCAACATGTTCGTCTATTTCATGGTGGGTGATTTACAAGTGCACCTGCCCACTACTCTGAGCGTTCAGCAGTTTTTGACCAAAAACATTATGACTCCCCTGCCCTATCCTCCCAATTCACCCGCTCTCACCCCGAGCAAATTTTTTGTTTCCCCGGATGAAAAAAGTCATCAAAGGGAAACATTTTGCCCATGTTAAAGAGGTGAAACAAAAAATGGTTGAAGCACTAAAAGGCATCAAAATTGACAAGTTTAGAAATCGTTATGAGCAACGAAAAAAGCATCTTGATAGGTGTATTGCATCAAATGAAGAGTCTTTTGACAGTGACTGGAGTTTAAACATGTAAAAATAAATACACAATTTTAAATAAATTCCAGGGTTTTTTGGTCCCCTTTGTAAAATGATCAAAGTCAGAAAAAAAGATTTTTTCTTTTAGTTGGCATCTCACTCTGTCACCTAGGCTGGAGGGCAGTGGCATACTCATGGCCACCGCAACCTCGACCTGCTGGGCTCAGGCGATCCTTCTGCCTCAACTTCCCAAGTAGCTGGAACTACAGGCACACACCACCATGCCCAGCTAATTTTTTTGGGGGGCGGTTTATTGTAGAGATGAGGTCTCACAAAGTTGCCCAGGCTGATCTCAAACCCATGGGCTCAGGCAACCCTTTCACCTAGGCCTCCCAAAGTGCTGGGATTATAGGCGTGAACCACCATGCCTGGCCCAATGTTAGGAAATTTCACACTGATACAGTTCATATGTAGATGTTATTCATACAGGGTCCAACTCATTGCGTTGAGTTGTCATGTCGCTGGTTTCCGTTAATCTGGGCAATCCCTGAGTCTTTTACTTTTGCTACACTAACATGTTGGAAGAGTACTGGCCAGCTTCTTTGGAGAGTGTCTCCCAATTTGACTTTGTCTGATGTTTTCTCATGATTGGATTTGGACTCTTTCTATCAGGAATATCCTAGGGATAATGTGTTCTCTGTGTGCCGTGGCAGGAGACACAAGACTTCAGCTTGTCCTAACGTTGGTGATGTTTATTTGGATGACATAGTAGTTAGAAGTGGACTGTAAAGTTTCTCCAGTGTACTATTTTTTTCTCTCTGGAAATAATAAGAAGAGTTACTTTGAGGTTGTGTAAGAGTGCTTTTCTTCATCAAACTCTCACCCACTAGCACTAGTGTCTATTGATGATTCTGGTTGACATTCTACTGTGAAAGTATTCCCTTCTCCATAATTTGATACCATTTTGTTGGGGATTTTTCACATCTATATTCAAGAAGACTGTTGTAGGCAATTTTCTTTTCCTGTTATGTCTTTGTCAAGTTTTAGAATTAAGGTTATTCTGGCTTTAAAAAAAAAATGAGCCGTGAAGTATTCCCTCCTCTTCTATTTTCTGAAAGATTTTGTTTAAGATTGGAGTTATCTTTTTCCTTAAATATTTGTTAGAGTTTACCAGCAAAATCTCTGGTAGAGTTTAGAGTTTTCTCTGTGAGATGGTTTTTGATAACAGATTCAATTTGGATATAGGACTCTTCAGATTTCTTAGTTCATCTCTGTCACTGGATAAGTTGTAAATTTTAGGAAACTTATTAATAATTTCATCTAAGTTGTCAAAATTATTAAGTTAGAGTTGTTTACAACATTCTTTTATTATCCTTTTAATGTCTATAAGATCTGTAGTGTTATTTCCTTTCATTTATGATATTGGTAATTTGTTTTCTTTTTTTTCTCCTTGATCAGTCTTGCCTTAGGGACCTATTAATTTTACTCATGTTTTCAAACCAGTTTTTGACTTTGCTAATTTTCTTTTTTGCTTGATTTTCTCTTTCATTGGTTTCTACTGTTTATTATTTTCTCCCTTATACTTTTTTGAGTTCAATTTGCTTGTGTTTTTCGAACTTCTTAAAGAGAAAGTTTAATGTTTTTAAGCTTGTCTTCTTTTTCATTTTAAGGATGAAATGTTATACATTTAATATTTATGTCTGTATGATATGTTAACCCTTTTATCATTGTGAGATGTCTCTGACAGTAATCTATATCTTATGGGCTACTGTGATGTTAATATAACCACTCTAGCCTTCTTATGTTTACTACTTAGTAGAGTAAGTTTGTTTATATTTTTTACTCTCAACTTTTATGTCTTTACATATGAAATGTTTTTGCTTTTGTTGGCATATGTTTGGTTCCTGCTTTTGTACCCAGTTTAATAGTTTCTGCCTTTTAATTGTTGTGTTTAGTTCACTTACATGTAATGTAATGATTAATATGTTTGGATTTATTTCTGTTTTTTTCTGTTTGTTTTCATTTGTCTCATCTGTTTTTGTTTTTCTGTTAATTCTTTTTTTCTTTCCTTTGGGCTGACTGAATATTTTTTAGTATTACATTTTAATTCCTCTATTGAGGATTTTCAAAAAATATATCATCTTGCAACAGTGTAGTTCCATTCACTTGCTTTCATCCTTGTGCCATTTTTTTCATATATACTACATCATAAACCTGAAAATACAGTATTATAATTTTTTATTTAAAGAGTCATAACTTTTGAAGACATTTATAAATGCCTATTTTTACCATTTTTAGTGGTCGTCCTTTTTTCCTTTCCTGGATCAATTATCATGAACCACCGCATCTGGCCTGTTTCCTTTACCACTTTCAGGGTTCCATTTTGTTGTCTTCTGACCTTCTTTGTTTCTCACAAAAAGTCGGCTGTTATTTATGTTGACTCGTATATGTAAAGTGTCCTTTTTTCTGGCCAGGCATGGTGGCTCATGCCTGTAATTCCAGCACTTTGGGAGGCTGAGGTGGACGGATTGCTTGAGCCTAGGAATTTGAGAACAGTTTAGGCAACATAGTGAGACATCATCTCTATAAAAATTTAAAAAAAAAAAAGAGCCAGGCATGGTGGCACATACCCGTTATTCCCAGCTACTCAGGAGACTGAGGCGAGAGGATTATTTGAGCCAGAGTTCGAGACTGCAGTGAACTGTGGTCGCACGACTGCAATCCAGCCTGAGTGATAAAGTGAGACCCATAATCAAAAAAAAAAAAAAAAGCAAGAAAAGAAAAAGGAAAATAGTGTCCTCTTATCTCTTGCTGCTCTTGACATTTTTCTCTTTGAGTTCTAGCAGAGTAAGTATTTATTTTGCTTTATGTTCGTTGAAATCTTTGTGTGTCATGCCTCAGTTCCCACCTAAGTTGGGAAGCTTTGGACTGTTGCTCTTTCAAGTACTTTTTTCTGTGCTCTTTTTCTCCTTTCAGTTTGTAACTTAAATTATGCAAAATTGGGATTCTTCCTTGATATTGTTCCACAGATCTTTGAGGCTCTATTGCTTTTCTTTAACATTTTTTCTCTGATGTTTAGATTTGATAATTTTTATTAATCTGCCCTTAAATTTATGACTGTTTTTTGACATCTTCAATCTGCTGTTAGGCCCAGCCAGTACATTTTTAATTTGTTGTTATGCTTTTTAGCTCTAGAATTTCCACTTTGATCTTTTATAGAATCTTTATAGTTTCTATATCTCTGTGATAGAGAGAGTACCTGTCTGTTCTTCTTTCTGCATGCTTTCCTTTTAATCCTTGAATATATTTATAACAGCTCCTTTAAAGCTCTTGTCTGGTAGTTATAGCACGGTGATCATTTTGGTGTTGATTTCCATTGACTACTTGTATTATGGGTCACTTTTTCCTGTTAACATGAGTGGTGATTTTTGATTGGAAGCTGGACATTATGAATGATACATGGCAGAGACTTGGGATTTTGTTTTATTCCTCTAAAGTGACTTTTGTCCTAGCAACCAGTTACCTGAATTGATCTCTAGCTCTGAACTGTCCCCCTTTTGGTGAGCTATAGCTGAAATCTCTGCTCAGCACATTTAATTTTTGACTGCTACTTTTTTGCTGGGTCCTCTGGCTTATCTCCCCCACACATATGTAGTTTAGTAGTCAGCGAAACACTTAAGCATATTTTATACACAGATTTTGGACCTTACTTGCAAATCTCTTCTGTTGCAGTTCATTGTTTAAGGGTAACCCCTTCTTCAGTTTATGCCTTTTGATTGTTCCCCACTGCTTTCAAATAGTTGTTTTTATGTTTTGTCAAGATTCTATAATTTTTATCTGTTGGAGGTTAGTCTGACTAAGCAACTGTGCTGTTACCAGAAGTCTTGGTTCTTTTTTTATAGTTTCCATTTCTTTGATGAGAGTCCCAATTTGTTCATTCATTATGCCCCTATTTTCCTTTTATTTCTTGAGCATATTTGTAATAGCTGCTTTAGGTTCCTTTTAAGTCTTCTGATACCAATATTTGGATTTTCAGAGGGTTTTTTTTCTGCTGACATTTTTCTTGACTGTCTCTTCTTATGTCTATGGATTTTTTGTTTTCTATTGTGTCTTGTTGATGAAACATTATAGAAACTCTGGATTTTGTGCTTTTCCTCTGAAGAGTGCTGACTTTATACAAGGAAGCAGATCAGATTCTGTTTCCCCATAGGAGGCAGCAGCCAGAACACTTCTTTCATCCTTAGGTTACTGCTTTTCTCTGTGAGCCTCATTATCTCCCCATGCACTCACAGTTCAGGGACTCACCAAGGGTGGGATCAATCACAGATTTTATGGATCCCCTTTCCTTGGCTGCCTGTCTGCCTGTCTGCCTCCCTCCCTCCCTTCCCCTTTCCCTCCTTCCCTCCCTCCCTCCCCAGGTTTTTCACTCTCATTCTTCACCTGCCCTGGCAGTCCCAATCTCTATTCTCTGATGTTTGGAGCAGGGAAATGGTAGCTTTTGCTTTGAGGACTAGCTACCTACATACATGCAGGATGAGAAGTGCTCTTAGGCAAAAAGCAGCATAAATGCAAATTTTACCGTGTGTGTGTGTGTGTGTGTGTGTGTGTGTGTGTGTGTGTGTGTGTGTGTGTGTTTGAGAGATCTGTTCTTTAGTTCCTGCCAGAGTTTGATCATTTTCCAGTGCCTACAAATCATATTTTATACTGTGTCCTGCTATTACTATGTCTCACCTCACCACTGTTTGTTTTTAATCATATTACTTTACCTTTTACTGTATTTTCTCATCTGGAAAAATGAGGATAAATAATACCTATGCCACAGGGTTCTTGGAAGGTAAAATGAGCCAGTACACATACATTGTGTTTGCTTATGAATTGGGCATGAGGTGGGGACCTAGAAGATTATAACTCTCAAGATAAACCCTTATCTGAGTCAAACTGTAGCAGTACTGGGATTTCTGTTGATCATATAATTTGGCAAAACTCAGAAGAAGGTGTTCTTTGCCTTTTCTTCTTGACTGTTTTGGCTGTTTGTTGAATATTGACTTGGAACAGAGCTGCAGTGTTTCACGGGACTTGTGTACTACGGTGTTTCAGGTGATGCCAATATTCTTGTTGTTTATAGCTCATCTGCAAAATGGCTTCCATGATGAGTAAGAGCACAGTTGAACGCCTGCTGCTCCCTCGGTTCTGCGAGCTGTGTGGGAATGGGAAGCTCTTTCAAGTTCGAAAGGTGGGAACGCAAGAGCGTCAAAACTCAAGTTGAAAAATGCAAAATTGATTTCTTGAAAGTTTCAGAACTTCTTCAGTAGATCAAGTCTTGAGGAAAAATGGCCAGTGTGAACTGTGTAAGGAAAATATCTGAACAGCATTGCCAGTTTTTCTGCAAGTGGAAATTGCACAGAGTCCTAGAGATAAGATTCTGTGTGAGTCAACCTGTTGTTCTCAGCATAGGATGAGAGTTAGGGGACCTTGCTGGCTTGTGGTCAGATGCCGTTACCCAGGCATGCAAGGTCTCTGATTATCTGGGGTGATTTATTCCAAAATCCTCTTATCTTTACTGTACCTTCCAACCCAAGCCCCAGCTTCCCTTTTAGTCACTTGTTACTTGGTTGTCAAATTCTTCCCCTTTTATTTGAGTCGGGGTCTCACTCTGTTGTCCAGGCTGGAGTGCAGTGGCACGACCATGGCTTATTGCAGCCTCAACCTCCTGGGCTCGGATGATCCTTCTGCCCCAGCCTTCTGAGTAGCTGGGACTACAGGTGCATGCTACCACACCCAGCTAATTTTTTGAGGTTTGTAGAGATAGCGTCTCGCTGTACTGCCCAGGCTAGTCTCAAACTCCTGGGCTTAAGCAGTTCTTTCCTCAATATCCCAAAGTGCTGGGATTACAGATGCTGGCCAGCTTCTTCCAGTTGGAGGCTGTTCCATCACTCCCTCCACAGCCTCATCCCCCACCTTGCCTTGTGCCTGCCTTCGCCCCTCTGGCTTTCTCCATGACGCACTGGCAAGATGATAAGTCTCGCTCACTGTGCCGAGAATGTTAAGGGTCTCTTCTGCCCTATTGCTAACCAAATGCATTATGTATCAAGATCAATTAGGAGCCAGAAATTCCTAGAATTTAGTACCTTATTGTAAATCTTGTTTTTGATACAGTGGAGGCACCTACATGGTGCTGTGTGGGCGCTAGGCTTGGTAAGGGCTTGTTAGCTGCCTGAGTAGAGGGATAATTGCTCTCAAGGTTCCTGCTTGTTAGTTTTTACAATTTGTTAAGACAAAAAGAAAGATAAGGATAATGAGTATGCCTTTTGCCTTTTTAAGATGTGTGCTCCAAATTTTGGTGATATTTGTCATGCTATTGGACAAGAAACCACTGAGAAATTTTTGGTATGTGAAGTTTTGCCAGCTGTAATTGCTGATTTGCCTTTTAGTGCACCTTCAAAATCAGTTGTTAAGTTTTATATTTATGAGTTTGTTACTTTGGAACGGCAGCTCAATGTTGCATTCATTAATTTCGGCTTTCTTGACTTCTGAGGCTGTTTCCCTAAGCATTGGGCAAATTATCTGTGGGTGAGCTGCAAGCCACCCCCATTCTCCTTCCTGTGGACTTCGTGGTCACTGCCTCATGGGTTACCTTCTCCTGGCTTCTGCTTTCCACTGCTCTCTCTAGAACATTGCTCACCACCTCCCTCCTAGGCCTCAGAGTCATCGGGAATTGTTTCCTTGGTTTATAGGTTAAGATCTAGAACCTTCCAGATCCCCTCACAGACACTTTTTCTGACTCATCTCCAAGTCACTTTTCTCAGTACTGAGCAGCCCCTGGCCTCGGTAGGTCCCACGTCTGGCCATTCGTCTGAAGCTTGGGGAGAGCCTAGACATCTGTATTTTTGATAAATTCCCCCCGCCTTGGATGCACAAGAAGGTAGAGAAGCACTTCTCCAGCCTCCCTGAAGCTTCCTGCTCTTTCCCACCCCTGGGCCCCTGCCTGCCACTTCCCCTCTCTGGAGAGCACCTCCCTCCCTGGCGGCCGCTCCAGCCCCTGCAGTGTGCCCCTGGGAGGTTCCTTCCTTGTCTAGACTCACCACCCTGCTGTGCCAGAGAGACTTTATCTCTCCCTTTCCAACACTCTGGTGACATTTTGCTCTGAGTACCTTATTCTGGTTGTGCTGATGGGGACCTTCTTGAGGGCAGGGACCTTATCACGTTGGTCCTTGTTTACCCAGTGCCTCCCCAGTACCCGACACCTGGGGAACTAGGTTTGGTCAGTGCTTGTCATTTTTGACAGAATATACTACCTGTATAGTTGGGATTTCACCTCAGAAGTTTAATCTTTAAATTGATTTTTAAATTTAAGTTCAGAAGCTCATTATATTTTATTTAAAGTGTAAGCCATGTCAACACTGTTCTAACCCAAGAGTAATTTTTAATGGGCTGTTGCTTTGAATATATACAGTGAGTGTTATCTTCCACTTAATATATCTGAAACAAGAACGGCAGTGACTAATGTACTAATCCTTCTGTAGGTAGATATTTCCTTGATCATATCATATTCCCATTTATGAAGCATTTTAGGCTAATTATTTTACATTAGGATATTAAAAACAAAGCCTTAATACAGGATACATTTTAAAAGAGGATGTAATCATGACCTTCATACAGATATAAAACGAACACATGTCCAAGATTTTATTTATCTCATTTATTAATGAGGGAAACCAGTAAGCTATCACAGCTGGACCAAGGACTACTGAAGTGAACTTCCACTTTTGGATTCAAAACTGGTCAGTATCCAGGGTGATCATTGATTTCCTTCCTTTGGCCACCGTTTGCATTTCTGTGGACAGTAATTATTTGCCTCACTATCAGTTTTTAGCAGCTCACCTTCTGTCACCACAGAGTTGTAAAGTGCCCCAAAGACAGTGATCCCTGGATAGGTGAGTGAGTTGGGACATCCGCTGCTGCTGAGTCTTTTGTGATCTTTCTCTACAATTCATGTCACGGATATCAGACTTTGCTCTTTTTGTGGTTTTCTGTATTATCTGTTAAGTGTAGCCAAATCTTACTAAAATTAAGAGGTGAGGAAATGTTTCTTTCTTCTTCTTATCGTAATTTCTATTTGTTTCAAATGATCTTGTTCAGACCGTCGTGTCCCTTCCTTTGCTGTGTCAGGACTTTCTGGACATGCCTTCACTGTGTCACAGCGATGGGTTTTGCCCGACCTCAGGGTACTCCGATTGGAGCAGCACTACTTTGTTTGCTTTGGTAGATCCCAAAGTTTTTTGAGCTCTGCTCAGATGATGTCTGGGGGATGCGGAAAGCCCGTGTTGAATGCTTCCTGGCCGTGTCCTGCTGCTCCTCCCCTGCTGTCCGCAGAGCCCTGCTCTCGCGCTCTTCATCAGACTCATCAGCGACCCCTGTCGATGGGTGAGTGCCAGCACACCCGGCCCCTGGCCGCTGTATTGGTGAACCATCCAGCTACATCCGGCCTCCAGGCTTGGCTTTGACTTTATAACTGTGCATTTTGTCCTTCAGTCACTGATGGGTGTAATCAGATATAGACCTTGTGAGGTCTTAGTTAAGGCAACTAAAATCTCAAAAGTTTTGGAGTAGACGGACATCAAGGAAGTGGTGCATACCTTTATGTTTACAGCAAACAAATATCATAGAAATCAGAAAAAACTGTGTGATGGAATCGTTGCCTTTCCTGTTACTGGAATGGTGAATGCGGTCTGCTCAGACACCTTATAAGGTCTGGCTGTTCCAGGTGAAAGTAATACTCTGGTAGAATAAAAACTATATAGTGGGACTAAGTTTTGGCCTTACTTTCTGTTGAAAGCAGTTTATTTGGAATTTAGGAAATGATTTAGGCAGCAATAAATCTGCACAGACATGGCAGCGACTCACCTGCTGTCCAGCCCCCTGTGTCAACCTGGGAGCGGGCTGCCCCACGGCTGCTGCATTCACTGCCCACTCTCTCTGGTTTCAGGTGTGCCAGGCTGCTTTTCAGTCCCTCGGCCCCTTCATTTCCACCTTTGCAAGCTCCTCCAGGGCTGGCCTTTGTATTCGAGAGGACAGCACCCTGACCATCGGACCACCACCAACTCGGGATTTGGACTCCAATTTTGTCCCTGTCTCGCCCATTCTGGGCAGCTGTGGGGATACTTCCTCAGCCAGGTATGCTACAGCCAGGGTCATGACTAGATCCTCCACCACACCTCAGGCAGCCACCTGAAATTCCAGCAATGATCTTGTCTTGAATTTTAGTAACAGTGACCTTCTGGGCAAGATGGAATATTAGAGCTTTAATTATGTAAAGAAGCAAAAGTAATTGCAATAATGATTTTGAAACATGACTACTGGCTTATAAATAATGAAGCTACCATGTCTCCTAAATTTAGATAAAATATTCATTGAGAGTCATGATTAAATAACCTGTAAAGAAACATTTCGCTTACTTTTTGATTAATGAAATTCTTTGGGTAATTTACGTAGGGAAAAATATGAAGTCTCCCAAATATGCTTTTGTGACGTAGGATGTTGCCTGTACATGAAGGTGGCCTTCCTGCCAGACAGTAGGAGGAGTCTTCCTAATATGGCGACTCATCTTGGTTTCTTCTTGTCCTTCCTTGAGGATGATGAGTCTATGCCAAGCAGACTGAGGGAGTTTATAAACGTCTCCCCATTGTTTATATCAGGCAGGAGGATGAGAGTGTGTCATTGACCCTTACATAATGCAGATCCTTGAGGCTGGTCTATCCTCCCTCCATCCAAGTACCTTGAGCCTTGATGTATGTCAGGCCTGTGCACTCTGTCCTCATCAAGACTCTCCAAGTGGTTAGCAAAAGCCAACTCTTACCTGTTTCATTGCCTCTGTTTTCCGATGCCTGCCCCCTGGTGGAGGCACTAATGAGTGCTTCCAAGAAGCCAGGATGAATTCACCACTTGAATAGAGTGGAGGGATAGGCTGAGCTTTCTTGTAGTAACTTCAGTGCACATCGTATCCCCAGTGGGTGTTGGGGGCTGCTCTTATCTTGTCAGGTCTTCTGACACTGGGAGACACAGGAGGGGCAGGTGGCTAGCTAGGAGGAGTAGGGCTGGGCTTGCGAGGATGTCGATCTCACGCTTCTCGCTGTGACTTCCCATCAACTACGCAATACTGAGTTTGCTTCTCTCCATGTAACCCAGTTCGGCCAGGCCTGTGCAGATGAAGCCGGGTCTACCCGCGGAAGGGACATCCGCAGAAGCCAGTAACTACCTGCACATCAGTAGCTCTTCTAACGGCCTCACGGAAAACCCAGTGGAAGACTCTGCTTCGGCAGGGGCTGACCTGGCCGGGCTTTCCCCAGAGCCAGTGCCTTCTCAAAGCTTCCTGGTATTCATGGCCTTCTCACCTGCGACCACCTGGACCAGACACCTGGGCCTGCCCAGGAAATGCCAAAGATGTGTTCAATGATGGTCTTTACTGGCGAACTCCTCTCCCTGACATAAGCAAGGACTTGGAGCTGCTTCCACATGAGGCTGGGCCACAGGACGATGACTGTAGCAGGCCTGGAACTGTGCACAGCGGCCGTGTGACCAGGAGCGAGAGTCAGCAAGTCCTTGAGAGTTTGCAGTAGCGTGTGATGAATGACCTGGATGTTCAAGGTAAATGTCATCCAGGAGAACTGAAGAACAGACAAGATATGTTGGCATGTGCATGGCGTGTCCCCACACCCCCTTCTTCTGGCCTGTGTGTTGTGTGTGTGTGTACCTAGATTTATTTCCACCCTGCACACACTGAGAGGTGGGACTCAGTCCCACCATAGCCAGAAGAGTCAGAGATATCTCTGTGCAGGCTCCTATGCACGGATCTGACCATGTTGTTTTATATACAGACCTATGTGCAGTCTGAAGTCAGTGCCAATGGGAGTGTGGCTAGCTCTTGGGTGGATCTGAGCAGCAGGGATTTGGTGAGTTCCTTGGATGCTGGTACTGCGTTGCCCACGTCCAGTGCCCTATCTATGGTGGATAGCTGGGGATGGTGTTCCTCTTGGAGTACATTAACTCAGCTTGTAGCTCACTTTCAGTTTTTTGCCTTTGTGCATCAAGGAAAGCACAACTGCTTCTTTGGGGCATTTTTTATCTATGCCTAGCGCTCCCGCCGAGCGTCTGATCTGGGAGCTAGGCCTTGCAATCCATATCCATTACCACGATTCTTCTTTCTCTAAACACTGCTATATTTGTATTTTTCCTTGGGAGAAATTGGAAAAAACAACACTCACTGCTGTTGCTGGGGAAAGATTTGTGAAGCTTTCGGGAAGGGAAATGTGGAAATCTAGTTAGTCCTGTGATTATTCTTTGTCCTGAAATTTATGAAGGAAATTAAATCAATGTTTGCTGAAGGAATGAGCGCACATAACATATCACTTCTAATGGCTGCAGACAAAGGTCTGTTTTTGGAAAACTCATTACTGAAGCCGCTGAATCCCCGGCTCTAGGACCTGGGCTGGGGCTAGGGTAGTGGTGACTGGCAGGCCCTGGTGGTCTGGTTAGGGGATGGTGCAGGCAGCCATCCTGTGGGGAGGGTGAGGACCAGAAGAGGACCTGGCAGAGTGGGCAGTGTTTGACCTGGGCTTTAGGAGTGCTGAGAGCCATCATCTAGAGAGGTGGGAGGGTGGGGGTGTGAACTTCAGAGGCTCTCTTTGTCAAATCATGAATGCTTGTGCATACTTGATGTCTTTGTGAAAAAGAGCCCACAGCTTTCTTCAGAGCTCAAAGGGGTCTGTGATCCCCAAAGATTCAGAAATAAATGACACATTTTATTTGTGAATGGATGGTGGCAGGAAATGTTGCTCAGGTCCTTGAGAAGCGCCTGGTGTGCTGCACAGAGGAGGTGGGACCTGCCCTGGGTACAGGGCGGCACCAGGTCAAAGGCCTAAATCTTTTCATGCATCATGGGGTTCGTGGAATTTAACTAGTGGAAAACAGGATACAGGAAGTATTTGTGTGTGTGTGTGTGTGAGAGTGTGTGTGTGTGTGTGTGTTTGTGTGTGTTTTGGGAGGTTGAGGACATGAAAACATCCAGTTTATGTTTATAAAGAGATATGTGAAATTTGTAAACTTTACTGTCCACAGGTCTCAAACAGTCATACTGTGGGTGGAAAGACTGGGTAGCCCTGGGGGCTTGGTGAGTGAGATCCTTGCTCACCTACGTCAGTGGATGTATTGTGCCTGGGTGTGAGTGTGTGCATGCCTGTGTATTTGTGTGTGTGTGTGTGTGTGTGTGTGTGTGTGTGTGTGTGTGTGTGTGTGTGTGTGTCTGGGAAGGCAGCCATCCTTCTCTATCGGGGAAGACAGGACACCCCTCACTGGGTCGGCCAGACATCAGTGTTCAGCAACTTCATGTTGTCTTTCTGGGAAAGATGGTAGCGTCCAACTTTGATGTTTCCTAATTGAGGCTTTTCAAACTGAGATTTGATGTTCTGTGCGTGGCTGGCATTGAGTCAGAATAGTTACCGTTATGACTATAAATGTCAACCCCTTGCCAAGAGCTTGTTTTGATACTCCAGAACAGTCCCTGTGCCATCTTGGAGTTTGGAATGGACACGTGTATTGCGTATCACACCCAGACCATGGAGCACAGGGCTGACCATGGTATTTTGAAGACTTCTCTGAAGTAAACCCCCATAAGCCAAATAAAGTTATTAAAATTCTTGAAACTTCTCTTCCTGCATCTCAAGTTCAGGTATTATCAGCTGCACTGAGAGCTGCACAGCTTGACTCTGTGAATGAGCCCAAGAACAAGCCGACAGAAAGTCTAAATGAAGTGTCCATTTTAGATCCCAGCCCTGCCTCCGACAATCAGATCGCTCTGTCGGCTTCATCATCTCAGAATGAGCTCTCCGGGGCCAGGATATTACAAAGCACAGTAAGTATTTGCCCTATCCCTCAGCCACCGAGGATGTGACCGAAATCACAAAGCTGCATTTTCTTTTATTAATATATCCCAGCAGAAATGATAAATGGCAAATTTCATTTTATTCTTAAGGTCATGTTTTGGATAACTAGACAACCAATCAATCAGGTGATTGATAATGTTGATTCTCTTCCACAAAAACAGGGTGGGGACAAGAAAGTACCTTCCCTCTTCTCCAAAGATGGCAAGAACTTGTTCTTTGGTTGGGGGAGGATTAACCATATAAGTGCTGTGTGTCACTGCTGACAGGTACTGATGTCCTTTTAATAAGAGTGGAGGTGAATTCAAGCAGTTCCTAGAATTTCAAGTTGGCGGGGGCCTTCGAGAGTGATCACCACATCCAGCCTCTCATTTGCCAGGAGCTCTCTAGTAGGTGGCTGCCCCAGTCCTGGTACTAGCATGCTATTTGTCAAAGGAGAGATTTTGAAAAACCAGCATTGACCACTTTTTATCCTGCATCCTGGAGCCAGCCCCTGTGAGACTGGGGCCCAAAAGCTGGAGTGAGGTGGGCCCATGTCTTGTCTCTGACTTGAAGCTTCTCCAGCAGCTTTGTAAAGCTCTTGCTTCGAAGCTCTGTGCCTTACTAATTTCTGCCGAACTTCCACTTGAGTCACTAAACCTGGATCTTTCACAGGTAGGGTCAGTACTGAGACTTAAGGAGAGGTAGGGGCTAACCATTGGGTGTTAGCCCCTCTCACGGTAATGACTGTGATGGGAGCTTTTCTTGAACTCACGTCTCCAGAGCCAGAATTCCCTTTTGTTTCTCTGATCTCACAGTTAGATTTTTGTGATTACATTAACTTACCACCTCCCTTACTCCCTAGGCCTGTTCTAATAAAACTGATTTAAGATTTTTAAAAAATTTTCTTTTTATTTATTTTTTATTTTAAAGACGTGGGGTACAATTCAGGGTTAGGTATACAAATGTTCATTATGCAGGTAGCCCTGTTGATGAGGGTGTGCTCCTCCCTCCCCACATTTAAGATTTTAAAAAAATCTTAAAACCCAAATATAACACATATAGGAGTTGGTTAAGGTTATCTGTGATTACTTAGAAATGAAATGATACCTTCTTCTGCTGGTTTGTTTCTAAAAAATTAGCAAGAAAACTCTCGTTGCTATCTGGAGTATGGAAATCCCAAATGCCAGGTCAAAGTGTGTGGCCTCTTTCCTTGGGGATGTGACAGTGCTTGAGCTTCTTTTTCATAGGTGTGGAAAGAGAGGAGCAGGTTCCTACAGGCTAGGCCTTTTGAGTTAGAGATTTAGTAGGGGTTTATATAACTTGGCCTTTGCTTTATGGTGTGGGTGTTAGAGCTTTGGACTGTGCAGCTTGATTCTAGGGGGATCAGTCAGGGTACTTCCTGTTGCCAAGGAAGGAAAAGGAAACAAACTGGAAGAGCTTGTACATTGAGGAAAATGTTACCTTGCACAAGATGACGGGAAGAAAAACTGCTGTGGTGGGTGGCTTCAGGGCTGGTGGACTCCACTGTGGCTTTGACCGTCCCCTTCCCCTTTGCTGTGTGGCTCGTGTCATCATGATGGGGGCCTCCAGGGCTGGTAGACTCCACCTGTGGCTTTGACCGTCCCCTTCCCCTCTGCCATGTGACTTGTGGCAGTGTGATCCGAGGCTTCAGGGCTCATGGCCTTCACCGTGGCTTTGACCGTCCTCCTTCCCCTTCACTGTGCGGCTCCTGTCACCATTATGGGAGTCTCCAGGGCTGGCAGACTCTACCTGTGTCTTTGTCCATCCCCTTCCCCTCTGCTGTGTGGCTCATCTCAGCGTGAAATGCTGAATGGAAAGAGGGGCCTGTGTCTTCCAGTTGTCTCTTTTGAGTAACAAGGACCCCAAAAGGTATAAACTAGAAACTCAGTTCATTGCCCTCTCCCTCGGCCTGCTCTTGCCAGCCATGGTTGCATCGTGTGTTCACAGGTTCTGTGTGGTAGACAGCAAATCCCAGGAAACATGTGAATCCCCTGAACAGAGTTGGGATCCTGCCGGAAAGGAGGCTGAAGGGAGTGGGAGTGTGCATAGGTGGCCAGTCCATGCTGCCCCTCGGGGGTTGGGGAAGTGTACTTGCAATACCTTTTGGGGTCACCTTGACTTGTGGTTTGCTTAATCCTTCACTTGGCTGCTTGGGGTAAGTGCTGCCCATAATGATTGCACTGAAGGCTTGTGATAACAGTGGTGCATCTTGTTAGTAAATGTGAATTTGTGAACTTGGAGAAATTGAGTTTAGGGTATCATACCAAAATCTGTCTATTTTACCATGTCCTCTGTTGAAATAAGCAGTGTATTTCTGTGCAAACCCTGGGACCTGGAGGCTCTGGTGGCACCTCGGAGCGATTGGCACATCCATTGGTGTATTTATTAATCGACCTTCCTGGATCATATATTGAACTGATTTGTCAGAATCCATTAAACCCGTAGACAGTATGACATTTCAAGTGCAAGCTGGAAATCCATGTTATGGTTGAAGGAGAAGGTCAGGTCCATCTCAGCTCATACTAATCAATGGTCAGAGACCAACATGTCACCGCTGAATGTTCTTGCTTATTTTAATTGTTAACCTCATGTAAAGGCTCATCAGTAAACATTAGGAGTATTTGTATGTGTGCACCTCAAGAACCATTTTCTAGGAAACACTTCTTTCTCGGCCACATCTTCTCATTCCAAGTCATTGGGTCCCTACCCCATGCTCTTCCCACAGCCGCCATTGCTTCAGTCTCTGATTCCCAAGAATTGCTGCAGGGGCTTGCTCCAATGTTTCTTGCAAACCTCATCCTTTCTTCTGGAGTGGTCTGTGCCTGAAATGTGTGACTGACTGATGCCAACTCTTAGTTCTCTCAGTGGCTGTCACCAGCTTTCACTCCAGCCTTTGTCTTCTTGTGAGGACCTCAGCCAGTCTTGACATTAAAATGTATGGACTCAGTTTTCCTTAACACTTAATGTAACTGGTCCATACAATATCTTATGTAACTATGCCAGCATAGCTTTTAATGTCTGGAAGGATGCTAGTGACTTCAAGGGAAGCTCTTGCCTTGGCTGTGTGAACAATCAGTTCAGAAGACTTTAAACACTATTTAAAACTATTTAAAGCAAATGAATATGAGACAAAATGTTGACATCTGACATTAATATTGAGTGTCTTTTTATGCAGATTGTTCTCTTGTTTTTGTTTGAAGAGTTACTGACAGCTTCTCTTGCTGAACCATGTTTGCTTTTGTTCTTCCTTTTGCACTGGTTTCTTATGCCTTGGAGTTCCCATCCATGTTTCAAATCATGGGGGCAACTTGATCTTTGGAGACCAGCATGAGTGGGGTGATAGCTTATGGAAGGCAGGATCCCCTCTGCTGGAACATGGAGTCAGGATTATGAGGTCTCAGTGCTGGGCTCTTGGGGCAGCTGTAAGGAAAGAGAAGCTGGTCTTCATTGTCAAGAACTGGTGTCAGACTCAGCACACGTGTCTGTCTAGACTGTTCTCTCTGACCTCAGATGTTGTAGCAATCTTAAAAAGATGAGTTGTGGGCACTGCTCTCACTTCAGTCAGAATTGAAAACCTGCTCCCTGGAGAAAACAAGGCCGCCAGTCCGAAGTGCTTTGGTTCTCGGAAGGCCTCTTGTTTCTCTCAGATTTCTGCTTTGTCGGGTTCACCTCTAAAGTCTACACTCTGTGTGTTTTTCATGAGAACCACCTGTCGTTGATTATCTCTCACGGAAGCACAATAGCTTCCTTTCTTCTTGCCTCCCAGGATGTGATACCTCAGCCCCTGCTGGATCAGTATGTGTACATGACTGACTCAGCTCAAGCACAGACTGTCGACACTGACATAGCCAAGCACCATGCGTACAGCCTCCCTGGGGTGGCACTGACCCTGGGCAGGCAGAATTGGCACTGCCTGAAGGACACGTACGAAGCACTGGCATCCAACATGCAGGTAGAATTCACCCTTTCAGAGGCATGCACACAAACAGGGGTGGGTCACCTATTAGTAATTAGGAGGAAAGGGATGTGGGGCCCACTGACCTGAATTTTTATGCAGATACAAATTGGCATATTTCCTGGCCTCTGATGAAATGAAGCTTTCAGTGGCTGACACCTGGCAGTGTCGAGAAATGCCACAGAAGACATTGGGAATGCTGAATTGCACTTGATTGTTGTGATTCGTGTGTCTGCTGTGTGCCCCTAGTGGAAGGTACGTCAGATCCTGGCCTCCTCTCTCCATGAGCTGGCTGTGATTCTTGGGGATCAGTTAACAGCAGTTGACCTGGTGCCCATCTTCAATGGATTTTTAAAGGATCTGGATGAAGTACACACAGGAGTTCTTAAACACCTGTATGATTTTCTAAAGGTAGGATGAAGGGTTAAAAGCAAAAAACAGACTTCACTCTCCAAATCAAATTTGTTAACCCCTGGATGTATATGGTGTCAGTGAAAAACCAAGGTAGTTGTCTAATGTTCTTCAGCTCAAATGTACCATTCAATCTTAAAGTTGGTGTTCTTTAAGTGATGGGTAAATATTTTTAGATTTAGATTTTTCTTTCTAATCTTCCTGTCTTAGAGCTGTAATTCTGTAGAAGGTGATAGACACATAGCCTAGCACACTATATACAGAAGAGGAAACCGGGGTCTGGGCAGTGACCTGACTTGTCTGGAAGTCACCCAGGGGAAGGGGCTGGCTGAAGTCCAACCTCAGTTCTATATGAAGTGTTTTTTCTGAAAGATGCTGCCTGCTTCCCTTCTGGCTTTTTTTCCCCCTAAAGAAATGATGAATGTTAAAACAATAGTTTAAAAGTGACCATTAAAAATGAATTCTTTGCATCCACACAACCAAGGTTGCCCTTGCCAGGCTGCACCATTGAGGCTGTCCTTGCCCCAGGAAAGAGGCACCATCACATGCCCTGGGAGCAGCACAGGCAGCTGTCTGCCGGGCATACACAGGCTGGGCTTTTAGGTAGGAATTATGAAAGAGGGACGACCGGGACCATTTAGAAATACATCAGTGCATGTACTAGCCAGGGGAGCAGGTTGGAAGCATCCAGGGATGCATTTGATGTCAGTGGATGGCTGTTGATTCACACTGGCTGACAGCTGGTGGGGTCTTGGGGGAAATGCAGAGTTCTTGCCAGTGGCAAATGTATAACCAGAAATATAATAAAAGTGGTATTTGGGCTCATGTATATATACTTATTTATGTCTACATTTAAAAAAAATAGTTGCTTCATGAAGACAAGAGGAGAGAATATCTTTATCAGCTTCAAGAATTTGTAGTGACCGATAACAGCAGGAATTGGAGGTTTCGATATGAACTAGCAGAGTAAGTAAACATATTTGGGGATATGAGAAGGCAAATTAGGTGGGATAATTCTTAATCATCCTACCTTATAATTGATTTCTAAACCAGCAATAAGAGTGTTCTTTCAGGTAAAGAGATTATGTTTTTATTAAGGTATAAACTGAATTCCAAAAACCCTAAGATACAAATACCACAGTCTCCCGGGAGACATTCATATTCAGAGGAAGACAGGGCTGGAGTCACTTTGGAATTAGAGTGTTCTGCTGTTCTATAAGGCAATTTATTTGAACCAAATAAAAGATGAATCACCCGCTCTTCAATATTTTCCTATTAATCGGAGCAGGTTTTGCCAAAGCTTTCGTGAACATTCTGAGTGTGCTCTCTGCAGGGTACAGCCTGCTTTATGTACTTCAGCTTCTGAAGACAATTAGGCTACTGTGGGAGACAGGAAGGGGGCTGGCCCAGACGAGATGATTATGAAATAAAAACATCCCCAAGGTGCCTCGTATCTGTGTGCTGTTTTGTGCATGAAGGAGTTAATTATCTCTTTTGTGGCAAAAGGTATGGTCCAGGTTTTAGTGATCATGAAAGGGTGCCAACATCCCTTTAAATAACTCCCCTTCTCAAGGTGTTTAACATGCCTTTCATGGTATTGAGGGAATTTGCTGGTGGTGGTGGTTGTTTGGGTTTTAGTTTTCACCTTGTTGAGATTCATTTCGGTATCTTTAATTTTCATTTTTCTTATCCTCAACTAGAAATCTCTTAAATAATTGCCTTCCCTAAAGAAATTCATCAGGCTTTTGCAGCTCCTCAGGATATGATTTGGCTGATGCCAGGAGCAACTGAAAGATTTTCTCTTTGCAGTAATCTTTAATCATGATGCTTAATTTGAGAGATGGAGGCTTTGGCCATTATGCTGTGTTCTCAGAGGATCGGGAAAGTAGGTCCGCGTTCCCACGAAGGCCTTGCGCCCTCCAGCGGCTTCCCGGGGCGGTGCGGTGGCCGCGCTGTCTCTGAGGCTCCCGGCTCCCGGCTCCCGCCTCGCGCCTCCCGCCTCGCGCCTCCCGCCTCGCGCCTCCCGCCTCGCGCCTCCCGCCTCGCGCCTCCCGCCTCCCGCCCCCCGCCTCCCGCCTCCCACCTCCCACCTCCCACCTCCCACCTCCCACCACCCACCATCTCCTACCACCTCCCACCACCTCCCATCTCCCACCACCTCCCATCTCAGCGAGCTTATTGCCGCCGGGACTGCTGATACGAGAGCCGTGCTCCCAGCCCGTGATGTTGGCTTCTTTGTTCTGGAAACAGTGCTTTTGATATTCAAGCGAAGCCCTGGGCGGCCCTCCGGGCTCTGGCCCCGCGTCCCGACCTCTGTTTCATTTCCTCCAGTCGCCCGTTCGGAGCCCGGGCTTGCTGGAGCGGGCTCGCTCGCCACCTGCGGGCTCCTGTCGCTGGCGCGGAGGCTCGGGCTCTTCACACGCGGGCTTCGCCGCACCGGGAGCCTCGCGCCTGCCGTGGAGCCGGAGCCGCGGCCGTGTCAGATTTAATTGGCAGCTGCAGGCCTCTCTTGTGTGGTCCCTGGATCTGCCCGTCTTTGGGAACCTCAGCATTCTGGCTATTTTTGTGTTATCTGATTTTTCAAGTTTTATGTGCTTTCCAACTGATAACCCCAAATTGAAATATTAAACCCGTACTCATAAATTTCTCAGCTCCTGTTTTTCGGGGTCTATTTTATTTCCTTTTTGATTTATGTGCGTGCGTGCATGAGATGAAGAATTGCTTTTTTTGCGTGGTCATTTCCCTCAACTTTCTATTTTCCTGAACAAAGCCTTTGCTGGGTCTTCATTGCTGTTCACTTCCCAGCCCAGCTATTTTTATCCATAAGATGAAATGAGAGTAAAGAGAAATTGATAAGGTGCTTTGGGCCCTCAAAATAATGCTTTTTCTGTTTACATTTCAGACAGCTGATTCTGATTCTGGAGCTCTGTGGCCCGGATGACGTCCATGAGTACCTCGTGTACGTCGCTCTCAGGCTGTGTGCAGACAGGGTTTCTGAAGTGCGGTCGACTTCCTGCAAGCTAGTAAGGAGCTCAGGAATTTTTGCAAATAGGAATGTTCATGCGTCTTCCTTTTTAACTTCTTGATTTTTTTCTTAATTTGTCAGTTTACCTGTGAAACCAGCTTTTAAATGTTGAAATTCGGTCCAGTATTATAGTTTTATTAATGTGCAGGACAGCTTTTTTGCTAAGTTGTAGGCTTCAGCGATGGACATTGTGAATCAATCATTTTTATATATGAAGCCTTTAAACAGTAGCTTAGTGTTTTTTAAAATACAGGTTGGGTTTACTCTACAGCTTGATTTTGTAGACAGGTATTTAGTAAGCAGACTCTAGTATAGAAAAGCTGATCTGTTTTAGTGGGCTTTTACTGGCTGGATACTGACCCAAAAAATCACATTTGAAAATACTGATTTTAAGATACTCTGATGGCATTAAAACTTTATAAAAGTGACATGTTCTGAAAGGTAGTAATTTAGTTATTATGCAGGGGGACAGGTTCTAGAGTTTGGAGCCTTAAGATTAATAATATATTTTTCTAACGTCAGTCCTCTTTTTAGTCTTATTTTTATGAAGGGTTTTATGTGTATGAATATGTGTGTGCATGTGTATTGCCATATATTTAAACATCCTTTTTCTCTGTGTTCTAACGATGACTGTGACAAACATTACTTTCTCTTGTGCTTATAAATTCATTTTAAAGGTAGAGGGCATGTAAAAATCTCCCGTTTCTGTGTGGAGTCATTTTCCTAATTCAAGAAGATGGCAGCATTTTGAATTTACTCTCCTAATGTTTTTTCATAGGTTGTGGCAATTCTGCAGAAGTTTTATTCCAACAGTGAAAGTACATTGGGGTTAAATTTCATCAACGAACTCATCGTAAGGTTCCGGCACTGTCCCAAGTGGGTCGGAAGGCAAGCTTTTGCTTTCATCTGTCAGGTTAGCAAGACCTGGGGAATCTTGCCATGTGACAATGTCAGGTTCAGCAGAAAGAGATCCCAGCCCTGAGCCCTAGCCAGGAGTTTCAGGGCCAATTTCCCTAGCCTCTTGTCTTGCAGAGATTTGTGACCTGCCCAGCTGGCGAATGCCTTGCCCTGGGTTACCCACTGGCATACTCATTCACCTGGGAGGAACTACTTGAGTACTTCCATGGCCCAGATATGCCATGGATGCTGACGACAGAGTGAGCAAGCCTGTTCGCCTTCCATGTGGTAGAGTGGGGGCCAGGTCCATCCAGGGCTGTGTCCGCCACGGTACCGTATCTTAGCCGGCGGCCCTGGCAGGAGGGTATGGCAGAGCAGAGCAGTAGATTAGGGCAGACTGTTGAACCTCTTCAGAGGAAGCCTGTGACGTTCCTGTCAGCCTGCCCAGCTGCTCGGATCAGCCTCTCTACTTGCATCTTGGAAGTGAGGGTGTGACTTGTGTTCAGCTAGGGACAACGGCAGTGATCACAGCTGCCAATTCTGGAAGGCCTCTTGTGTGCCAGGCATCTCATCACACATTGAATTCTCTGATGAGAGCTACCGTGTGTGGAGTGTGGCATACCAGTATACCTTTAGACCAGTTCTCTCAGATGAAGCACTTGGAGCCCAGAGAGGTTAAGTAACTTGTTCAAGATCACACAGAAAGTGTAAAACCATGCACTTTTTTTTTTCCTGCTGAAGTTTGATTATTTTAAATGTTTCACTGTTTGTTATGCACATTTTCAAGCATGTGCAAAGGTTGAGGGGATGGGGTGAAGAACCCCTGTGAACCCGTCATCCCACTTGCTGGTAGCACAGGGAGGCGATGGTTGGACTTTCCTGACCCAGACCAGGAAGCCCCCTTTCTCTCCCTCAAACCACCTCCACCAGGGGACTGGCTGGCGCCCCCTCTTGGGCTGGAGGGGCATTGCAGGGGCTCTTTGGCCATCCACTCACAGTGAATATCAAGCTCACAGTCCCCAGCCTGGGCATCACCACCTTTTGCCAGGAAGTTGGCGGTGTTCCAGATCATTTTGCGGAGAAAGCATCAAGGAAGTGTGTTGTTGCTTTTACTGTTTAATTATTTAGCTGAGATTCAGAAAATCTGTACTAAACAGAAGGACGAGACTACCTGAAGGTTAAGGGGCCTGATTTGCATTAGAACTATCTGGTATGAAGCCTGATTCCAGTACTCCAAGAGGGTGGCCATGGCCAGGACAGCCTGCCTGCATTTCGCTCTTACCTGTGACACGTGCCTACCTCCTAGTGCCATCATGAGGCTTCAATGAGCTGATAGTTACCTGGCATGGCGCCTGGCACTGAGAGGAAAATGCCTGGGGAGCGGCAGCAGCAGGTGTTCAGGGCTGCCCGCCACAACACAGGCTCCCTTTTGTGGAAGCCACCCACCTGGCCCACAGCGCCCAAGCCTGCTGCCACATGTTGGCCATGAGACCTTGGGTGTCATCACCACGCTGGACCAGAGTTTTCTCACCTGCTGAACCAGGCTCACTGTGATTTCCAGGGTTCGTTGTAAGAGTAAAGTGAGAACACGTTTGCAGCTCTGTGCTTGGCGAGGCAGCATGTGGGTGCTGGGAGTGCTTACAGGGTAGGGAAGTATAGACAGTAGGAGTGGTACAACTCCTCATGTGCAGCGGTCTGGGCATGGGCTACAGTTGGGATTTGACTGCTACTCAACAGCCACGACGCCTGTGCATTATTGAGGTGGGGGTTCTCAGCTCTCACTGGCCAGCGATGTGGCAGCACCATGCTAGGTGTTTGCATACAGGACCTGCCACTGTACAGATGAGGAAACTGAGGTTCGGAAAGTCAAGCCACTTACCTGAGGCCACAGAGCCAGCAAATGACCAATTTAGACTTTGAACCTGGACCCATCTGGCTCCAAAGCCTGTGCTTTTCCTGCCAGATCTTACACGACTTGTAACATAGGGCTTGGTAGTGCTTTTTTTTTTTTTGAGTCAAGTCTCACTATTGCCCAGGCTGGAGTGCAGTGGCACTCTCATGGCCACTGCAGCTTTGACCTGCTGGGCTCAGGCGATCCTTCCACCTCAGCCTTCCAAGTAGCTGGAACTATAGGCATGCGCCACCCTACCCAGCTAATTTTTTGATTTATTGTAGAGATGAGGTCTTGCCAAGTTGCCCAGGGTAGTCTTGAACCCCTGGGCTCAGGCAGTCCTCTCATCTCTGCCTCCCAAATTGCTGGAATTACAGGCGTGAGCCACTGCAACTGGGTTGGTGGTGAATTATTTTTATTTATTTATTTATTTATTTATTTTTTTGAGTTGGAGTCTTACTCTGTTGTCCAGACTGGAGTGCAGTGGCCGCTCCTGGCCACTGCAGCCTTGACCTGCTGGGCTCCGGCGATCCTTCCGCCTCAGCCTTCCGAGTAGCCAGAATTACAGGCATGCGCTACCATACCCTGCTGATTTTTTAAAAATTATTTATTGTAGAGATGAGGTCTCGCCAAGTTGCTCAGATGGGTCTCGAACCCGCAGGCTCAGGCAATCCACTCACCTCAGCCTCCCAAGGCACGGGATTACAGGCTGAGCCACCGAACATGGCTAGGTGGTGAATTATAATGAAATGTTAACTGGGTTTTTCTAGCCAAATTCTGTGCTTGAGGCTTACAAAATCGCACACACGTCTTAACCCTGCAGACTCTGAATGACTTCATTGGATTTAAAGAAATTACATTTCTAGAACCCATGGGAAACACTGCCTCTCTGGTGGGCTCTCTTGTAGGCGGTGGTGAGTAAGGAGGGCGTGCCTGTGGGCGAGTTCACAGAGCACCTGCTTCCCAGCCTCTTGAGCCTTGCGTCTGACCCCGTGCCCAACGTAAGGGTCCTACTGGCCAAGACGCTGAGGCAGACGCTGTTGGAGACAGGTACGTGGAACACTTTCCTGAGCTCACACATTTTAAATCAGCCCCATTGGTTGTTAAAGGTTGCAGTGAGATTTCTTCTAGGAAATTGCTGGCATGCTTAAGGAAATTGGGACAGCATGCTTAAGGTTTATCATATAAATTAGTGCACTAACTTTTATGTTTAATATTTATGTTACTTATAAAATGATTAAGGGAATGAATGTAATTCATTGTTTACATTTAACAAACACATACTAAAATGCAAAATATTACCTATCCTTCTAGAAAGGAAGGAAACTTTTTGTAAATTTTGAGTTATGACATAAAAGATTATGAAAGGTAGCAGATTTAAACTGTAAATTTTGGGGGAGTGGTTGTACTCTGTCTCCCAGGCTGGAGTGTGGTGGAACAATCACAGCTCACTGCAGCTTCTATCTCCTGTGCTCAAGCAGTCTTCCTCCTCAGCCTCCCAAGTAACTAGGACTATAGGCACAGGCCACCACACCTGGCTAGTTTGTTGATTTTTTTTATAGAGATGAGGTCTCCTTATGTTACCCAGGCCAATCTTGAACTCCTAGGCTCAAGGAATCCTCCTGCCTTGGCCTCCCAAAGTGCTGGAATTATAGGCATGAACCACTGTGCCTAGTCAAGTTTTAATGGTATTATTTTGTAGTCAGTAAGAAAACATTTGTTGCCTAACCTAGTAGGTTATTTTAAATCTTAAAAGGATTTAGTATAAGCTTTGTGTTCCAGAGTTTAATATCTTAAACTCTGCCCTGGATATATGTTTCTTGCCACTCACCTCCATCCCCCCACCAACAACCCACTCCTCTCCTGAATTCCACACATTTGTTATTTCTTTCGTGTTGTAGGAATAAAAATTTAATATTAAAATTTTTGTAGTTATTATAATTTTTTAAAAAAGCATACCCATTGGGAGTCCATTTCTGACATGTAAGAAAGACTCTTTGGTTAGGCATGTTATCATTTGAAATGACACACGTATGGGTTTGTTCTATGAAGAATGACTTATTGTCCTGATATGTGGTTAACAAGAAACAAAATGAAGTGTGTTTTTGAACACAGTTCATGGCACACGTGATTCTGATTCTTGGTTTTGCTCTCCAGCATATTTTAGAAATGCTGGTAACCCTCATCTTGAATTCATTGAAGAGACCATCTTAACTCTACAGTCAGACCTGGACCAGGATGTTTCCTTTTTTGCCACCCTAGAACCAAAGGAGCGGAATATCATAGACACTACCATACCAGAAAAGCAGAATTGACTACTGTGTGCTGAACTGTGATCTGGTCGTTTCCTGTGTGGCACACACTGCTTATCACACCCAGAAGGAGTGCTGATCGTATTGTACCTGCAGGGGGAGAAAAGATTTCTGAAGCTTTTGTGCTGTGCACTCAACTGACCTGACCCCCTTTCCACCACAACCTAAAGGGACTGAACCCCATGGGGCTTGTTCCAGATGGCCGGGCCTATGCTGTGATAACCCACTCCACTAGCCTGGTCGGTAGCAGTGTGTGGGGAGGGTGCGGACCCAAGTGGCTGGCTGGGTGTCGGGCCCCCAGAGCACCAGATTGCCTGTCAGCAATACGTTTTCTCTATGACAGACTGTATGATTTGAAGTCTCCCCCCTCACCAAATAAAGCAGTTTATGAGAAGCTTTTAAGTCTTTAATAGACTTGCATATTTGCTTTCTTTATGATTTTCTATAAGATAATGGTTTATGGCGTCATATTTCATTTTCAACTGAATTGCTCTATGTATGTAAATAACTCTTGACAGGAAGAAAATATTATTTATGTAACATAGCCCCTATCAGTGAGCTGAACAAATCACTTAAATTTATGCTCCACTTAGAGTTGCTGCAAATAGAGTCCAATTTGTTTACTTTTGAAAAATGTTATAGTTAAAGAAATCTCCTCATGGTGGAGATTTATGGCAGTCTTTCTAATACTGTGTTTTTGTTCTCAACTGTACTTGGAACTTCTCCTCAAGTGCTCACCCTCCCCTCTGGCAGGAGCTGCATCCATCAGGATATGCATTGGCCTCTGACAGAAGCTGGAAACTGAAAACATTTTCATTTTTGTATGGCTTTATTGGCACATGTTTAAGAACTTGAGAGGGAGATCGATAATCAATATGCAGGAATTTTGACTTTATATCTGATGCTTCAGAGACTTAGTAAAAGATGGGGATGCAGTTCTGACCAAAACCTGCCCACAAGTTTTGCCCACCAGTGACTTGGAGATTAAATTTTGTACTCTTCAGATGGACTTAAGTACACAAGCCCTTCAAGATCATGCTTTCATTTTTAAATTTTTATTTATTTATTTATTTTGTTTTGGAGTCTCACTCTGTTGCCCAGGCTGGAGGGCAGTGGCATGCTCACGGCCACCGCAGCCTCGACCTGCTGGGCTCAGGTGATTCTTCCACCTCAGCCTTCCAAGTAGCTGGAACTACAGGTGCACACCATCATGCCTGGGTAATTTTTTGATTTATTGTAGAGATAAAGTCTTGCCAAGTTTCCCAGGCTGGTCTCGAACTCAGGCAGTCCTCTCACCTTGGTCTCCCAAAGTGCTGGGATTATAAGGTGTGAGCCACTGTGCCTGGCCTAAGATCATGCTTTTAAAATTTAGACTAAGAGAAAGGTGATCTAGAATTTAAACAGGTCTTTCATTAATTAATAATTGAAGATTTTCTAAACATTTGGTTAAATTCTGCATAAATGCATGCTCATGCTTTTTTTCTTGTTTCTATTTCCATGTTCTCAAAGGTAGGAATAAAGGAAGGTAGAGAAGCCTCTGTGGGGCTCAAGGTTTGGGTTTCAGGAACCAGCCACCAAGGGCATTTAGCTCATTCTGTTCCTCCCTGAGAGCTTTGTCTTGTGTCTTTTCTTCCTTCCTTTTTTTCTATTTATTTATGTATTTATTTCTGATACTATATGTCGAATTTCCTGGTATACAGGATGTTTTCCCTCACCCTGGCATCCAGTTCCATTGAGCTGGTGCTTTAAAAATAAAGGAAGGACTTTATACTGTGTCAAAGAACATAAGGTACACCTGTGAGAATTTTAAATATAACCCAGGGTAGCATTTGGGCAACTTCATCAAAGCATGAGTTAATAATTTGGAGGCTACATTAAAAAAGGGGAATCCATCTTGTGTTTAATACTTGTCTAAAGTAAATAGATGGAAATATTGTTTTGCTTCAGCAACTAGCAACTTTTAATTTTTTTTATTGTCTAGAAATTGAGACTGTCTCATGTCGTTAAAATCTGTTGATCCACCAGCAAGTAGAGTTATTCAACTGGAATCTTGTATTCCATGCAGAGCTTAACTTTCCACTAAGGAAGAACAAGGATCTTCAGTTTGTGTTATGTGTAGACTTTGCATGTGGAATCACCACATACTTGTAGAGATGGTGGACACTCTTTGTTAAATAATCTGACCATTACCATTTCAGTTTATATGCTAAATAAAGTTTTTCTATAATTTATTATGAATGCCTTTCCAATGTAGTGTTTTTTTATGGCCGTGACTTCTCTGCAAAAATAATTTTTAAATTATTTTTTAAAAATTATTTTTTTAAAATATAATTTTTAAATTTTTTTTAAAAATTATTTTTTTAAAATATAATTTTTAAATTATTTTAAAAAAAAATTTTTTTTTTTCGACAGCTGAGGTTTTTCTAAGATTTCCTGGTTCTCCTCCTCCTTCTCTCCAGTTCCACCCTTCCCAATCACTGTTGCTTCTGGATGTTTTTAAATTGTTCTTAGGTACACAGGTGTTGGTGTAATTGGACCATGTGTTGCTTGACCACTCAGCCTCATGGGGGTTTCTTGCAGGCTGAGCTCACTGGAAAGGTGTCTTTACAGTGGAACCCGATCATCCTTTCCCAAGTGGGCACCCCCTTGTCAAGTGTGTTTCTCAGAACCTTTCTCCCTCCGAGAATTCAAGAGTATTTTCAGAGTTGGTGGATTTTGATGCAAATTTCCTCTCGGTCTGTCTCCCATTGCCGGGTCCACCCTCAAGTCAGGACCAGATCTACTGAAGGGAGTCGTTGGTCTACAGTTTTTTTTTCCCCAGTCATGCTAGAAGTGCCTTTGAGCACGACTGAGCGATGTCCACCGGCAGTTCCCCCAGTTATGCAAAGATTGTATTTTAATCAGACAGGGAAAAGGTAATCGTTTTCCAACAGCAGTATGAATCCTTCCCTTTCCGGGAGAAAACAGCTGAAGTTAACAGCCTCCAGGAAAGGCTGGGGAACGTGGCCGGAGGCTCGCCAGCGGGGGGCCGCGGGGGGCGGTGGCCGCGGGCTTGGGCTTGGGGGTCGTCGGAGCGCGGCCTCTCCTCCGGGTCTGTGTGTCTCGGCACCCCTCCGGGCTGTTTCGGGAAGCGCCTGGGCCTTTTCCCATTC